TCTATGGTTTTCTTTCTTCATTCACTATTTTCTTGGTTGAGACTATTCAGGACATGACGTACTTCCTTGTAGCTGCTCATGAGATCATCCTTTTTTTTTCTTCAGGCTCTGACTCAGACTCCTGTCCCTCCTCAATTTCAGCGATCCCGATAAACGTCACGAAGTTGTTTGTCTCTTCGACTGAGTCATCCTCTGAATCATCATCCGATTCTTCCTCAGCCAACATGGACTTTTTCTTCCTGCGATTTTGATCATTGACACATTCCAGCTGAGTGTGTCCAAATCCTTTGCAGCCATAGCACTGAATCTCCCGTCGCTTGATAGTCGGGCAGTCATTCTTGAAATGTCCATATCCCTTGCACTCATGACACTGCACCTCACTTTTTCTGTTAGACTTGTCCCCTTCAGTTGTCTTCTTGAAGGAGGCAACCTTCTTCTGAGGTTTCCCAGTTTTCCGCAAAGCACGATCAAACCTCCGAACCAGAAGACTTATGGGATCGTCTTCCTCATCTTCAGTGATACGGTTTTCACACTTTAAAGCTAGACTTTTAGGCTTCTTCAGACTGTCTAGCTCCATCTCATGAGCTTTCAGCATGCCTACAAGTTCACTGAATGGCATGTTCTCTGTGTTAATGGACACACTGAGTGCTGATTTGTACCCCATAAACCTCGATGGCAGACACCTCAAGAATTTCTTCACCAGCTTCTTATCCTTGTATTTTTTTCCTAACATCGCTGCTTCTTGTGCCAGAGCACTCAGTTTCGAACTGAATTCAGAGATGGTTTCATTCTCCTCCATCTTTAGATTCTCAAAGCGAGAAGCAAGCATGTCCTTTCTGGAGTTTTGAACCTTTGTTGTTCCTTCGTACTGCATCTGAAGTATGTCCCATGCTTCTTTGGCAGTCTCAACACCTTGAATCAGCTCAAATGTCTTTCTTGATATTGATATGTTGATGTGAATAGTAGTCAGCGCCCTTGAATTGTACTTCGCTCTTTTTGACTCCTCTTCAGTCCAACTTTCTTCTGGTTTTGGATGAAAGACTCCGTTGGCATCAGCTACCAGTGGTTCTTCCCATTTATCTGTTACTGCTTTCCATGCCAGTGGATCAATCCCTTTGATCATGGATCTGATCCTAGCTTTCCAAAACCCGTAGTTCCCATCATCCAGGATGATCCTGGAGTTGTTCACCATTTCCTTATAGCTCTCCATTTTCTCCGCAGGATCTCACCTGTTTGTAATACACACAGATGACCGCTCTGATACCAAATGAAAATGTAAGAGTAGTAATACGGGAACTAACACAGAACACAATACAGGGATTTTCTCTTCAAAGATATTTCACTAGTAAATCTGTTTGTAACTTACAAGTATACAGAACCCGATTTAGAGCAACCTCAAGACACACTTTGATTTGCTACACTAGTCTCACTTGTTCTTGAATCGATACGTGATTCAAGAACCTCTCACCCAAATCCCTTAGCACACTAGCTCACAAAAACCCTCACAGATTTTCGCTCACCCTTTGCTAAGTATTCTCTCAGTTGTGTTACAGCCCTACATAGCTCTAACACGCCTATTTATACTCAATAGGACTTGCGGCTGATCCTCGCCTAGATTTTCCTTCTGATTACACTAAATCTTCATGAGAATCTTCACCTTCCTTATCTTCTCATAAGATAGAGGAAACTTGATATTTTCTTCAAAGATCCTCCAAGATACTCCAAGCTTCCTATCCACGTCAGCTTCTCGTCTTTTGAAGTGTCCAGCACGTCCTGCAGCTCCAGCTCAGCTTCCAGCTCACCTCCACGTGTATAGATTGCTACGCAAGTCTTCCCGTGTTAGTTTCAAAGCTAGTCGGACTGCTACACGTGCTGCTCCAGTCTTATTTGCATCTTCAATAGCCAACAAAATTAAAACTAACCAACAAAAAACTTACGAGGGTGCACACGTTCGCATAGGGTGATACGAGATTACTTACATGTAACGCACGATCACAATTCACAAGTTATCCACAATACTCTTAACAAACAAAAAAATTCCAGAATTTACACGTGCCAAACAAAAAGGTCCACAAAACAGAAATAATCAAAAGTCACTAACCCAAAAGAAAAAGTCGCATGTTGTCACAAATCAATCCAAGTTTTCTACTAGCCACTGATTTTTTTTCTTTGACTTTAGAGTATGTTTGGAATATTCGGGTGTTGCTCTCACAAATTGTCGATGTGGCACAACTATGAAAAAATGTAATTAAATTTTTGTTATCTCACTAAACAGTAACACAATTAGTTTAGTTAGAAAGAAAGCGTATTATGTGTACATTCTTGGCTGCTTCCCTCTATATACAAATCAACTTTATGATACTCAAATAATCAGTAAAAAAATGAACTGTTTATCTAAATATAAAAGAACAATAATTCAAAGTTTGAACCATAATGCTTCATCTTAATTAGTGTATGTATTAGAATTATAAGCTACCAGAATTCTAGCTTATAATTTATAAAGGTAAAAACGTATGCTAGTTGTTTATGTAATGTACCGAGTATATATATTCTGATCCCTTGCAGTAAACTATAATTATAAGTGATAAAAATTAGGGCTAGTTTACAAATTAGGAGAGATGTGCAAATCCATTACAGAAAAAAATAGTGAATGGAGAAAGCGACATCAATAGTTGGCACTTGGCATAGTCCACATCTAATGTCGCTTTGATTGAAAATCTCAATATTTTCCATAGTTACATACTACAGTATATATGATTATTGATTATTGGTGTTTCAAACAATTATGATTGTTGTTCAAGCAAATAAATAAATGAAAAACAAAATGTTGTTCACGGAGACCTATGCTCCTATCTTCTCGTTGACTAATAGCTTGAAAAGAAAAATGGAATATCCTCCGTTATACTCAAAGGACACGTGACAAAGATCGGCGTAGTTAGAATTAATATCAAACACGGATTTGTATAAATAACTTTCCAAATTAGTCAACCAACAGCAATGAATCCTTTTTGTAATTGGCAATTTCTATAAACGACCATCAATCGATAGTAGCTCCAAGAAAATTAACCGCTACAATAAACCATAAGTTCCTTTGATTCATCAAAAAGATCGTATGAGCTAAAACATTTGACGTATGTTAATTTACAGAGGAGATCACAGATTAACACTATCATGTCACTATGAACCAACTGCTTTAATGTTTGGGGTTTTCAAGACCAAAAAGGTTCTTTTTTACCATGTTTTTTTTTTCCAAAGCTTGGTTAGTCTTAAATAGAAATTACCTTTAACATGATAATCGAAAAGTAATTTCCCAGATTTGGAGTATTGTTTTTCGATTTTATAGTATTTAGTTTTTATTTTATTTTTTTGTCTTTTGCTTAAGATTTTAAAGTATTTATTTCGGTTGGAAAAGGAAAGGAGGGAGAAGAAAAAGAGTGATGTATAGTTGTGTGTGGGGATACTGTTGGTATATTCTCTTCTCCCTCTCCACCGAATATAATCTTTGCCTTCTTTCCATGTCAAACCTAACCACTCCCACACGAACCACCCCAGAGAAATTTCAGAGAGAAGAACCAAAGAGAAGAAGCAGAGAGAAAAAAGCAGAGCAGAAGAAACAGAGAGCAGAATTGTTTTCGTTTTCCAATGGTTTGGAGATTTGTTAATGGCGTCATAGATTCGTGGGACTAAGGGAGGAAGAAGCTTACCCTGCATCTTCCGGATTTCTCACTCTTTCCTCCCGCCAGAGGAATAGGCGAGAAATTGACACATATAATCCCGAAGCTTCTTATGGTACGTTCCCGATTCTTTGATCGATCTCTTGTTGAATTACCTTGCGAACTAAGAGAAGGGGTCTTGTCAAGCTCTTTGCTTTTGCCCTCTTTTATTGGAAATTGGCTTCTAAGTTATTTAGAAAGTATAAAGCTAAGACCTTTTGAGACTCTCCCTGTATTTTGGAGAAAACCCTTCAACTACCAAACTCGTTTTACTATATACTGTATTTTGCAGTCTCTTCAAAACGAATCTGTTTAATCGTAGTTTCTACTGTTTTTTTTTTTTGTTTCTGTTCAACAAAATGACCTCGCTGTGATTGTTAGTGGTTTTTCCTCGAACAGTTCTGATTTTGTTTTTTACATCAAAAGCTTATCCGGATTGAAATATCACGGATTGGTGATTCCACTAGGATATTGATGTTGTTTCCGAATTGCCAAGTCCAACTTTGTAGTTGTTTTGTTTTTCAAGAAGTATTATCTCTTAGGCTAAAGAGTAAAGCTTTTTCATTCCCTTAATCAGGTCTGATAAGCACCGTTTTCTCTGTTCTGTGCTCTCTTCTTAGTTCAAATTGCCAAATTGGTAGTATTTAGTAAGAACGTGCATCTACACAAATCGTATGTCTCGTTCTTGATTTGTTGAAAGCTTCTGTTGCTCTCAAATTCTGTGATAAGTAAGAAACAAATGACACTTTTTGCAGGTTCGCTGGAAATTCTTAACTGATGGAGGAAAATTTGGTTTACTTCGCTTGAGCAATTAACAAAATTTCATCATGATGGTCTCACTGCCACACTGGTGGGAACATGCGTGAATGATTGTCAAGAGACCGATCCTGTTTCTCACTTCGTTTTATTCGTTTGAACGCTATACTGTTTCCTATATATACACTTGGATTCTAGCTCATTTAGGGCAAATCTCCTTTGGCAAAGTAAAACTAAATCAGCAGCAGAAAAAGTGAAGTTTTCCCGTTAAGTGGTTTTGATAACAAGCCATTTCTCTGCGGAGACTTCATCGTCGTGCCTTCAAATTTCTTCGAGGTTTGAAGCTCCACCCTCATTCTAGGGCATATCTCCTTTGGCATTTGGAACTCCAGTTACATCTTGGGTTCCTCTCTTGATACTTCAGTCCTTTCGTTGGGCAAATCTCCTTTGGCATTTCCGAGTCCTCAGTTGGCTCACCTTATCATTAGTCGAGCAAATCTCCTTTGGCATTATCCGAGTCCGCACTTGGCTCACCTTATCATCATTAGTGGAGCAAATCTCCTTTGGCATTACCCGAGTCGTACTGTTGACTCCTACTATCTTAGTCTAGCAGATACTCATCACCGTTTCGAAGTAGACCTTTGCTGCTATTGCATTTCAGTCATCTTACGTCAGAAAAAAGATACGCACCTATCAGAATAACTGAACCTGTTCATAAAGACAGCAGCGAAGCTACACCATTTGGCATCGAAGTTTGTCTAAGGTCAGAATAATTTATATCTCTTTTGCCTGTCAGATATTCTTACAATCGTTTGCTTCTGTTCGGTTTTTGAGCATTTGATGAAAATATAGTTCCATGGCAGGCATCTAAACTATGGATATGGCCCTTACTGACTCTGACTGGGAGAGCTCCAGCGACAGTGGTAGCAGTGAACACGAGGAAGTCGAGTTTTCTTATGGCGGACGGGCTCAGAACATCTTCTCAAACCTTGAAGAGACCATTGGAAAAATCGATGAGTTCTTGTCCTTCGAGAGGGAGTTTATGTATGGTGACATTGTGCGGTCCACAACTGAACCATCAGGACAGACTGGCAGGGTTGTCAACGTCAACATGTCCGTTAATCTCGAGAGTATTCATGGGAAGATTGTAAAAGAAGTTGATACCAAGAGGCTTCAAAAGTTGCGTTCGATCTCACTCTGTGATTATGTGATCAATGGACCTTGGCTTGGAAGGGTCGACAAAATAGTTGAGCGTGTCTCCGTCACCCTTGACGATGGTTCCAACTATGAGGTTCTTGTAAGTGATCAAGATAAACTTGTGGCCATTCCTCCAAATCTGCTCGAGGATTCTCAATATTCTTATTACCCGGGGCAGAGAGTTCAGGTAAAGCTGGCCCATGCTCCCAGATCAACGACATGGTTATGCGGGAACTGGAGGGAGAACCAAGTTGTGGGAACCGTCTGCTCTGTAGAAGCAGGACTTGTCTACGTAGATTGGGTTGCCTCCATCATAATGGGGGGTGATCGGAATTTAACTACACCTCAAGCGTTGCAGAGTCCTGAGAATTTAACTTTGTTACCTTCTGTTTCTCATGCAAGTTGGCAGCTTGGTGACTGGTGCATACTCCCTGAACTGCAAACCCCAGATGTGGTTGCATACAGTTTCAACGATTGCCATAAGACATTCCAAAAAGGGTTTAACAGAAATATGCAGAGCTCAAGTTCGGATGAGCTTTTTGCTATCACGAAGACAAAGATGAAGGTTGATGTTCTGTGGCAAGATGGTAGCTGCAGTGTGGGAGTTGATTCTCAACAGCTGCTTCCTGTTGGTGCCGTGAATGCTCATGATTTTTGGCCCGAACAGTTTGTTGTGGAAAAGGAAACCTGCAACAGCACAAGATGGGGAGTTGTGAAGACTGTCAATGCAAAGGAACAAACTGTGAAGGTACAATGGAGAACACAGGTTGAGAAAGAAGCAACAGGTTGTGTTGGTGAGCAGGTGGAGGAAATTGTCAGTGCATATGAACTGCTTGAGCACCCTGATTTTGGATTCTGTTTCAGTGATGTGGTGTTCAGGTTACTTCCAGAAGGAAAAAATGCAGACACAATCGTTGCTGCAGGGACGAAACACCTACTGACAGAGAGTGACTACAGTGGCTCATACTGTTTGTCTAGTATTGGTGTTGTTTCAGGTTTCAAAAGTGGTGTCGTGGAGGTGAAATGGGCCAATGGCTCTACTAGTAAGGTATGTATTATGCTAATATTTCTTTTAAAAACACTAATTATATGTCAATTTTTTTGGCTGAAAAATGTGTAACTTGGGTTCTTTTGGTTTTTCAAGAACCAAGTCTGGATTATTTACTTCACTAGGCCTTGTTTTCTGACCAAGTCGTTCGCTAAAAAAAGCTCACTTTTACAGTTGGCGTTCATATGCTGAAAAGTTCTCTCCATTGAAGTAACAGTAAGGTTTATATGCTGTTAAAAAAATTTCTCTTGAATATTTGTTTTTCAGGTTGCACCATATGAAATTTGGAGGATAGAAAGGTCTGAATTTTCCAACTCTAGCAGTATAAGTACTGAAGGGAGTGTTCAAGATTTATATCAGAAAATAGGTGGTCAATCAGATGAATCATCTTCAAACCATCACGAAACGGTAAATCAATACCTTCAGCATCTGGCTAACTAACTTTTGTTTTTTGATGTTTCATTACTATAGTATATAAGCTCTAGATATTTAGGTGTCCATGGAAAATTTAGCAGTTTATTCCGTAGCAATGGCTTTATCTTTATCCTTGGTGACTTACATGATACACGTATGTTTAGGGTCTGGTGAAGCTCTACAGTGCAGGTGAAAGTGGCAACAAGAACAATCCGGAATGCAATTCGTTTTTCCTTCCAAAAGCTGCCATTGGATTTATCACAAACCTTGCATCAAGCCTTTTCGGTTCTCAGAGTTCCACTTCGGTTATAAATTCGCATTCCTGCTGCAATGATTCTGAAGATAAAAGCGACTCTGAGGATCTTATTCAAGAAGCATCAGAGTCATATGACATCTCTGAATCAAATTTAGGTGAAGTGGACATGGCCACGATGGTCAACTTACCTATAGAAGGAAATGGAGTTAACAAGACACTAGATTCAACTCTTCCAGAGAACAGCAGGAAACTAGTGAGATTCAGACAGTTTGATATGGTTACTGACTGCTCAGACCATCATTTCCTTTCTTCGACGAAAGAGTTGGCACAATCTCAGGTATGACTCTTGGGACCAATACTTAACATTCTGACATCAGCTAAAGTACATTGTTTGCATGTGCATCTCTTAGATACCCTACGCATTTTCATCTCTTATTGTAGGTCACAAAGAGTTGGGTGAAAAGAGTTCAGCAAGAATGGAGCAATTTGGAGGCAGATCTTCCCAGTTAGTTCTTACTCTTGTTTATATATTCTCTGTTTGTTTATTGCATGTTCTGATATTGTGTTTGAATATAAATGTACTGAATATGAATTTTTGTGATGAACAGACACGATATACGTGCGTGTGTATGAGGAAAGGATGGACCTTCTGCGTGCAGCCCTCGTTGGTGCCCCTGGAACACCATACCATGATGGGCTTTTCTTTTTCGACATAATGCTTCCACCTCAATATCCTCATGAGCCACCAGTAAGTTTCACTTGCTTTAACTTCTCTATCGCTCACTCTGGCTTTTAAATATGTGTTTCTTAGGGACAAGTCAGACTTTCTGTTTCTTGCCAATTCTGATCTTTATCTATCATGTGGTCTAGAGACGCTACTGTTGTTGTGTAAAACTGTTTTGTGGACAAATAAATGACATTGTCAATGTTGTTCTCCCTCTATGAATACAGATGGTCCATTATCATTCAGGTGGGATGCGACTAAATCCTAACCTGTACGAGTCAGGAAGAGTCTGCCTGAGTCTGTTGAATACATGGAATGGCTCTGGCACTGAAGTATGGAACCCAGGGAGCTCCTCCATCCTTCAAGTTCTTCTTTCGTTTCAGGCTCTAGTTCTGAATGAGAAACCTTACTTCAACGAAGCTGGCTACGATAAGCAGTTGGGTCGAGCCGAGGGAGAGAAAAACTCTGTGAGTTACAATGAGAATGCATTCCTCATCACCTGCAAATCCATGATTTCCTTACTCCGCAAGCCTCCAAAGGTATGTTTCTGTTGCAACAATTTCAACACAAAAAGTAAATTACCAGAATAGACCGTTTTGATCAGCTCTGTATTGTTGCATTGTAGCATTTTGAGGTGCTTGTGAAGGACCATTTCACCCACCGGGCCCAGCATGTTCTGGCTGCGTGCAAGACATATATGGAAGGCGTCCCTGTAGGATCATCAGCAAACCTGCAGGAGAGCTCAACCACAAATTCCACTGGTTTCAAGATCATGCTCTCTAAACTCTACCCAAAACTTGTTGAAGCATTCTCAGAGATTGGAGTTGATTGCAGCCAAGGGATCGCACCGGATGCATGAAGGTTGGCAGTGTTCACATGTCATAAAATCTCCCTAACATCCAATAGCTCCTGTATAATATTGGTTTGCGAGAATAAAAAGGCTGTAAAATAGGGTAAATCCTTCCCCATGTAGAATATGTTTTTGTACTTCAAATGTGTGAGAACAAAAAGGGCTGTGAAATAGGCTCTTCTTGTATAATATCAAAGGCTTGTAGTTTTGCAAGAACCATGTACCATATTTTGTAATAAAAATGAAACACTTGTGTTTGTATATCTTCCTTACCAATAGTCCAGACATGAACAAGAACCATTTTGGAAATGGTGGAACCGAAGCTTATCGCGCACTATAATCTGCCTATTGGATACAGTAGAAATGTACTTGAAAGCAGAATGACAATCCTCGCAGATGCGCAGATTCTTTACAACTGTAATGGCTACATCTACCGTTTTCAACATCCCGAATGCTACAGCAAGCTTCTCGCTGTGGTATCGAAGTGCGTACTCCTTTTCCTCTTCCTCTACTTGGTGCATCACCGCTTCAGAAACTGGTGCATACCCAATTTCCTTGCACCGGCTCATCAAAGTTTCCAGATACCGATAAATCTCTCCAGTCTCTTGATGAGACTCATCACCCATACTGAAGAGATATGTCTTGTTTTCGACTTCAATTACGCTGTAGCCGACCTGTTTTCTCAAGTTTTTCCTCATCATTCCATCTCTTATGTGTGAGACTTCATCTGTTTTCCCACTCAAGGCATAGATATTTGAGAGCATGACATGATGACCAGGATTTTCTGGCTCAAGGGCTATGAGACGCTTAGCGATTTCTACACCGAGATCATAGTTCCTATGCATCTTGCAAGCTCCAAGCATCGCTGTCCACAATGCCGGAGCAATTGCTTTCCCTGTCGCATCAAGTTGATGTATGAATCTATAAGCTTCGTCCAGAAATCCAGCCCGCCCAAGCATATCTACCATACAAACATGATGTTCCACTCTTGGGATCAGTCCATAACTCTCGACCAGTCTCTTGTAGACCGAACGTCCTTCCTCAACTAGTCCAGCATGAGCGCAAGCTGATAAAACAGCTACAAATGTAACGTCATTAGGGATTGGACCGTGATCGTCCTCCATTTTATTGAACAAATCTACTGCTTGTTTGCCATATCCATGAGTACCATAAGCAGAGATCATTGCTGTCCAAGCAGCCACATTAGTTTCTGTCATCTTGTCAAAGACTTCCCGGGCCTTTCCAACATCACCGCACCTAGAATACAAGTTGATCAACGCAGTACCGAGTTTAACGTTCAGGCCAAGACCATCGCGGACAATGTACTGATGCACCCAAGAGCCTAAACCAATCGCACCGGTTTGTGCACATGCCGAGAGAAGCCCCACAAATGTAGCCGAATCTGGTTCGAACCCAGATTCTCGCATCTGATAAAACACCCGAATTGCTTCTTCCGCTAACCCGTTCTGCTCCAACCCAGAAACCAACGAGTTCCACGCCACAATGGATTTCTCAGGCATTTTGTCGAACACTTGGCGTGCAGCTTTCATATCGCCGCACTTTGAATAGAAAGTCACGAAAGCAGCCTGAACATAAGTATCCACTCCAAACCCAGAAACCACTGCGTGGCAATGAACTCCTTTTCCGATTCCCAAGGCAGAGAGATCGGCGCAGGACTTGATAACGGAGGTGAAAGTGTAGTTACTGGGAGAGACGTTAGAAGATATCATACGGCGATAAAAAGCAACGCAATCCAAGGGAAAACGCAACTTGGAAGTCGTTTTGATGACGGAATTGAAGAGGAAGTCATCAGGAAGAGGGACAGAGAGGAAGAGAAGGTGAGTGTAGGCGATGGCACGAGCGGAACAAGCCAAAGTAATGAGCTTTGTCAAGAGACTCCGGCTACGACCATATCCCGTGACGATAAAGTGACCATGAACCTGTTGAAGTTGGTTTAGACGAGGACCTGCTCGAATGATCGCTTCGTAGGCAGCAGAGTTGGCTGCTTCTTTGGTTTTCATTGGAAGTTAGCCATCAAAGAGTATTATGTATATAATAATGATTTTTGCTTCAACGAAGTAAGAGTGAAGGAAAAGGAGATTTCAAAGAGAAGAAACTCAAATTTCAATCTCTGAGGAAAAAACAGATTCCAAAAACAGAGGACGCACAACCATGGATCCCACATGAGTAACAACAGAAACATATCAATTTTTTTTTTTTCTGAACTGTAAAAAACTAAAAACGATATTGTTTGTGGTTTAGGTATTTTTGTCTTCTCATTTTTTCTGCGAACATATTATTATTAGATCAGGAAATAATAATATATAAGTATATACAAATAGTAAAATATACTAAGACATTACATAAAAAAATTCAAACAGGTTTTATAAAATTTAAAAAAACGTATTATTATGATTTATGGATATTAACAATACTCCAATTTTTTCTAATTAAATTTTAGTTTTTGGACGTGATTTTTTGTAATATTTTTAAAGTTTATCTTACTTATTTATACGAAAATTCTGCGTGACAACTCCCATCGCAAAAAACTGGACCTATTATGCGAAACAAGACAAGACCTAAACTTCTAAAATAAAGTAGAAAGTAAGAATAACAATATGTTTGTGTTATCTTATCTATTACTTAAAACAGCTGAATGCTTCGTCTTTTTTCTTCTGCAACTTGACCAGTTTGGTCATAGATTTGTTACCTTTTATAGATATAAATATATAATTAACATAGGATGAGCCAAACCACCAACTATTGTGATTCCTAAAATTATATATTTGATTACATTTTCCACTCATGTTAAAAACAAGTTGCTACACCTATGTTCCTAACTAATAGAGGTACACTAACAATATTATACAAAAAAAAAATCACAATAGGATGTAGTGAGTTTCTCCGGTGATCCGAGATTTTCCATTGTTGTTTTGTTGTGAAACCATTTTTTTTTTTAAACATCTTATATTAATAAAAAAAATTAGTGTAGTGGTTATCGTCTAGTGGAAATAAACGAGGGATCGATTCTCTTATCTAAACGCAACTTCTTCAAACCACTGCTAAATTAAAAATGACTAAAGTTATTGTCTTGTCTAAGTTTAAATTTATTCTAAAGGTAGAAAAACGTATTTCTGTTGCATTACTTCAGCTGCTTTGATTACATCCAAATGTTTTCCTTTAAATATTAAACCACCAAAAAAACAAAAACCCACGGAAAACATAAGAGAAACTACAATAAAAACGATAATTATAGAATGGATAATTGAATATTTAACGTAAGACTTTATAAGTGGCTGAGGTATAACGTACGGATCCACCCTAAATGGCTAAATGTATTATCAGAAACACTCGCCCGAAACAGCAACCGAAAATTTAAACCTGAAAATTACATCCAGCGAGATGCTTTTATGCTTTCATAAACATATATAGATAGTTGCAAACAAGAAAAATCTTTATATATACATAGATACGTGTGCTACAACTAATAAATCATCATATATAGTCGAGCAATATTCAACTCGAGATCCGCGAAACAAGGTATGAAATTATTGATAAATAGCGACCTTGATCATATATGATTCTTTTTAATTGGTTTTGGATGATATAATATTCAACATTTCAACTGGTTAAATTCAGTCAACTTATTTTCTTTTTTTGGTAATCTTTGGAGGTGTAACGTATTGGTGGTAAAATGCAGTTAATTTGATGGTTTATACCAAAACCGAAACTCGGCGTTTCATCTCTCGAAGTCAACTCTTTTTCCATGCGATGTCTATCAAAATGAAAGACTACATACAAGAAGAACCACCTAAAACACAAGCAAATGTTATGAGCAAGAAGATGAAGACAGCTCTTGTGATCATAAACTGTATTCTCCTAGCGATTGGAAACTGTGGAGGCCCTCTAATAACGCGTCTCTACTACAGAAACGGTGGCAAACGGATCTGGTTCTCAAGCTTCCTCCAAACCGCAGGTTGTCCCATCATCTTCTTGCCTCTTCTCTTCTCCTTCCTCCGTCGTCGTCGTCGCCGTAAAGAAGAAGAAGAAGAAGCAAAGACTCCATTTTTTCTCATAAAACCTCCTCTGTTCTTCGCTTCTGTTGTGATTGGTCTGCTCACTGGCTTTGACAATTACCTCTACTCTTACGGATTAGCTTACCTCCCTGTTTCTACTGCGTCTCTGATCATCTCCTCTCAATTAGCCTTCACTGCTCTCTTCGCCTTTTTCATGGTGAAGCAAAAGTTCACACCTTTCGTTATAAACGCCGTCGTTTTGCTTACTCTTGGTGCCGGAATCCTTGCCCTTCACACCGACGGTGACAAGCTTGCCAAGGAGACACACAAGGAGTATGTTGTTGGGTTCCTCATGACCGTTGCTGCAGCTATTCTCTACGCGTTTATATTGCCGCTTGTGGAGCTCACTTACAAGAAAGCTCGTCAGCAGATAAGCTACACGCTCGTGCTCGAGATCCAGATGGTCTTGTGCTTTGTCGCCACTTGCTTCTGCCTCGTTGGGATGCTAGCTGATGGTGATTTCAAGGTCGAGTCTTTTTCCTTTTTCTTTAAAATATCCTCTCTGTTTTTGGTTGACCTGGAGAAAGTAGGATTTGGGAATCAAGAACTGCGGTTTTTGAATTTCTTGACCTACAAGGAGGACTCTTGAATTTTTTCAATGAAATATCCTTTTCGTTTCTCTATAATTTTTATTTTCTTTTTAAGCCTTTTAAACCATGAGGGTATCTCTGGATTTGTACGTAGAGAGCAGGATTTGAGAGGCAACAAAATTCGGACCTTTGGCTTTATAGTTATGGAAACCTTAAAAAGGAAGATCTTTTGAGTTTTGTTTGTGAAAAAATATTACATTTTATGGTTTTTCGCCAAAAGGGTACTTGTAAATTGATAGGGAGAGGGTAGGGTTTAAGAATCAGGAACTGGAATGTTTAAGGTTTTGTTAATTTGCAGGTGATAGCAAAAGAAGCAAGAGATTTTAAGCATGGAGGGTCTTCGTATTACACTGTGGTGGTTGTGTTCACGGCCATAATCTGGCAAGGGTTTTTCTTGGGATCTATAGGGATAATCTTCTGTGCATCGTCTCTGGTCTCTGGAATTCTGATCAGTGCTCTGCTTCCGTTGACGGAGGTATTGGCCGTCCTTTGCTTCCGGGAGAAGTTTCAGGCGGAGAAAGGTCTCTCTTTGTTTCTCTCCCTCTGGGGATTTCTTTCTTACTTCTATGGACAGATTAAATCCGAGAAGAAGAAGACTCCGACTCAGGCTCAGGGGACACAACTGCCTCAGCTTCCAATTACTGACTCTGTAGCTTAAAAGCGCCTAACTTGCTACGGTCAAGTTTTTTGATGATCTGTGTAAAAGGCACACAATTGTAACATCTATATTTCTCTATAATGTGGAGGTTGGATGGACTTCTATTCGGTTAATATAAAGCGGCATGTAACTGTCATGGGTCGTTTCTTCAATATATGAGTAACGTTCTTATTTCATTAAGCGAACTGGTTTGGTAATACACTTGACACGCTAGGCGATAATCTACAGGTCTTTATTTGGAACACAGAGGTTGTTGAAAGGTAGAAGAAACCAATATTCCAAAGCCATTGATGCTGGACAGCTAAGAGATCTCTCAGTTCCTTGTACTGTTTTTCAGCCATTCTATATACTTGTCGCTCCCACCAGTGATGGGCAATGCAATAACTTCTGGCACACTAAAAAAATGTTTGAATTACTTAGCTTTCTTCATTGTTAAAGTCCTTTGAATCTATATAAAAAAAGACAAGGCACTCGCACTAATAAACTCATATTTTTCATAAGTGAAACACGTCATAGAACAATGCTTACTCGTATTCGTGATTTGCATTTACGTGCTCGGTTAGAGACTCTAGAAGGGATTGCCTTGTTTTGATTATCAGGAGCTCCTCGGAATCACTCTGAACCTGAAGCCAAATTGATGGATTATAATGTACTCCAAGATCAGCTTGAAGAAATATCACATATTCAAGATGGACAATGTTCCAAGAAAAAAAAAAAAAAAGTAAACATGGGTGAATGGTGATATAGTATGCATTAAGTTTTTTCTGTCTTTTATGGATGCAAAAATGGTTAATCATTGTTTGTAATAGTTCTAAAATCTTATGATTACTTTTCTAGTCTTCTTTTAAGCTCAGAGATGTTTGTTCAACTACTATCCATGGTAGTCTTCGAGATAGGATTGACATTATAAAATAATGCAGAAAGATTTGCATGTGTCATCCCCTACTTACCTTCCCCTCCCACTCATACACCGATTCGATACCTGCATCCAAGCAAACAAACATAAGCATGTTCTAATAACAGAACTAGTTATATTCAAAATCACAGAAAAGGAAGCAAACAGAGAAGTATGTTTTAGCAACAAAAAAAAAAAATGCCAAATCGACAGAGTAAAGAATGGATAAAGCATGGATCGGCAAGAATCATTCTAGACCAAGTGATGAATCTAACATAAAGGGTTTTCTACAAAAACGTGTTGGCAGAAACCCAAATAGACTAAATGGATGGATTCTTTTCAACTCCACTTACTGAAGTTCTGACGGAAACAAAGGTGGAAGAGGCTAACACAAGAGAAGGGAAGTACCTGGCACAATGTTCACACACGCTGCAAGCTTTTCTTGGACTATGCTGTTAGCCAACTTCTTTCCTGCCCAATGAGACAAATAATTAAAAAAACGAAAAAGGTACGAACTCTTCATTATAAGTTAAATAATTAAATTTGGCCACAAGGTTCTCAAGTTCCCAATATAAGTTAGGCACTGGCAAAATCTTCATTATAGCAAACAGGGAAACTAGTTCAAAGGAAACGCTAAGCTAATTGAACATATTTGTGATAAAAGCTCCTTACTTTTCAAACCCATAAGAGAAAAATTAAATGTGATTACTCTCAAAACACAAGAACATTCTCATAATCTAAACTTGAGAAACTGAATCAACACAAAACCTGCTTCTCTGTTAGGAACAGTGACATAGACAACAATGCTGGGCACAGTTTTGCTGCTCTCCTCCATTTTGATCGTTTCACCCGATGAAGAAGCCTTACTGCTAAACTTAGACCTACAATAGTTTCCAGATCATGAAGTTAACGAGGAGACGAGCAGAAAACTGAAACAACAACTGGAAAAAAAGTCGACATTTTTATTCGAGTGCTAACCTTAAGAGAGGGCCAAAAGAATAGGACTGAGCACAACCCGGTTTGAAAGAAGACGAAGAGAAGGAGAGAGTTGAGAAACCCAAGCTTAGCACGCAAAACGCACCGACGATCGGTAAACGCCGTCGTATTAAGACGGACGATCCGATTCTACTGCTCAGAGACAAAGCCATCACCACTTATCTCACCCGTTTCCTATTTATTGGAAGCTGGTTTCTGGAATCTGCGAAGTGTCCTAAAATTATAATAACAAAAACTTTTAGGTGTCGAAATGCAATATTTAAAAATCGCTCCTTTTTTGTGTGCGAGCTCTTTATCTGAGTTCACAAGTGACGAAAGGTGAATGTTGTGAATTGAGGAAGCTCGAATTGTTTGTTCACACCGGATGTGGTGTTCCGATTGGGGAGACGGACATGGCTCATTTCTCGATTTCGATTTCGAATTCGACAACTACAAGGTAAACAAGAAGATTAACATAATTTCGACAAATAGTTTGGTTTTAAGTTTGTTCAAGTTTCCGGATTGTAAAAAGTGAGGTTTTTGGTGAATTGGGTATTTCAGGATCACTATAAAGTCCTTGAATTGAACTGCGACGCCTCCGATGATGAAATTCGTTCCAACTTTATCCGCCTTGCTCTGGTTCCTTCTCTCTCTTTTTTCTTTCTCGTCGCCAAAATTTGTGTCTTTTTCCCCCCATTTCGGACAGAATCTGGTCTGAATTCTTCAGTGTTTGAGTTGGAGTTGTGTTTGGTTTGTTTGCAGAAGTGGCATCCGGATAAACTTAAAGAAGGGGATTCTGCTACGTCTAGGTTTCAAGAAATCAACGAGGCTTATCAAGGTTTGCTTCTCTACATGTAGATGTACATTGTTTAGTTTCTTCTGTATGATAACAGTTTCTTGTTAAGGTAGGCTTTCAAGTAGTGAGCTTAGAAATGCAGAGTTTGATGTGAATTTGTTTTAATTGCAAAAAGGAATATGTTTTCTTCATTTAGTGATTTTTGATTCTGTAATTGGTTTCTTGGTGAACTTCGACATTAAAGGTTTGATCATTTTGTTCGACAGTATTGAGCGACCCATTTACAAGGCAGGAGTACGACAAGAAAAGGATGCGTCGTATCTATGAGCACAACATGGTAGAATAATGTTATAATGTTTTCTTTCGAAAGCGAGTACTACGAAAGCTTCAAGTTTTGATGAATCCCACCATTGCTTTGTTTGATGCAGGAACTGTTCGACCGGTACAAGGAGCTCATTTTTACTTGCAATGGACTTGGGATGAAGAATTTTCTTTGGTAGATGCAAAAAATTAAGGTTAGGTGTTATATGTATAGTTTGTAACTTTGTATGATGAAGTTAGGGACATCAGCAGTTTTTTAGCAGGGTTTGAGTATTTGATTATATGCAGAGAAGCAAGACAGAATCAAAATTACCATTAATTCAGGTTTTAGTTTCACGAGTTTTTCTTCTGCATTTCTAAGCTCACTACTTCAATTCACATACTGCATAATGCATGTTGTTGTTGACAAAATAAAATCTTTAAAGTTTAAACTCGATCTTATGAATGAATTGAGAGTATTTAAACTATTCTCTTTCAAATCCTGCAGAATTTTGTAATTGTTAAGAGAAAAAGTTTATATGAATTTATGGCCACATGGATACGAGATGTCGAGATTGAGTAAAATAGACAAAGCATGTTAGAGTTCTGAAGCTTTGTAAGTTAATTATTCTTGAAATCTTTGTAGATAAATGAAGAAGAAAACCTATGTAAATATGGAGAATCAAAAACAATGAGAATTGTTCAAGTATAAATCCAATAAATCATGACAAACTATAAATATGATTCCAATGAAAGAGTTAAGAAGACAGACCAGTCTAGCTGAGATCTGATGAATTGAATCCTACTTAAAAAAAAAAAAAAAATTAGGCTTAAGCTACTGGGCTTAACCACCAAAAAGAAGTCCAACTAAAGCTATTGGGCCTAACCGCCTAAAACCCTAAGAGAGTTATATATTTCCCAAAATTTTTGGAAATTTTATTAGCAAATATAAGAAGAGTTTAGAAAGAAAAGATACGAAGTGAAAAAGAAAGAGAAGAGAAAAGGAGAAGACGGTTCTAGATCTTCTTAAGCCTTTCCCGACCTGCAATCGACCAAGCGAATACTCTCTGATTCTTCAGCAACGATGAAGCGATCAATCAACGAAGTCGTCGGATCTGCGTCGGTGAACACACTCGATTCCGCCAATGCTATGAAGCCCGTCTTCCTCACCAAAGCTCAGCGCGAAGAATTAGCCCTAAAACGCCGCCAGGATCAAATCTCCGATATGCGTCTCCGCCGCGACCAAGTCGGTGGCTCCACTTCCACCCCTGACACTGAAGACGCCAATGGAGATCGCAGTAAGGACCGGGATCGAGACCGCGACCTAGATCGAGATCGGGACCGGGAGAGAGATAGAGGACGAGACCGCGACAGGGATAGAGACAGAGGGCGAGACCGCGACAGGGATAGAGACAGAGATCGCGACCGTGAGCGTGAGCGTGATCGTGACCGTGACCGCCGTGAACGAGATCGTGAGCCGGATCGGAGAATTCGAGATAGGGAGAGGGAGGAGGAGGCCAAGGCTAGGGAGAAGGCGCGGGTTGAGAAGTTAGTTGAGCGAGAGAGGGAGAAGGAACTCGACGCCATTAAAGAACAGTACCTAGGCGGAAAGAAGCCGAAGAAGAGAGTCATCAGGCCGAGCGAGAAGTTCCGTTTCTCTTTCGATTGGGAAAACACCGAGGATACTTCGAGGGACATGAACGTTCTCTACCAAAACCCTCACGAAGCTCAGCTTCTGTTTGGGAGAGGGTTTCGTGCTGGTATGGACCGCCGCGAGCAGAAAAAACAGGCGGCCAAGCACGAGAGGGAGATGCGCGACGAGATTCGTAAGAAGGATGGTGTAGTAGAGAGACCAGAGGAGGCGGCTGCTCAGAAGGAGCGAGAAGAAGCCGCGGATACATATGACTCGTTTGACATGAGGGTTGATAGGCACTGGAGTGATAAGAGATTAGAGGAGATGACTGAAAGGGATTGGCGTATCTTCAGGGAAGATTTCAACATCTCTTACAAAGGCTCGAGGATTCCTCGTCCAATGAGGAGCTGGGAAGAGAGCAAGCTCACTTCTGAGCTTTTGAAAGCTGTGGAGAGAGCTGACTACAAGAAACCTTCTCCGATTCAAATGGCAGCCATACCTCTTGGACTGCAACAGCGAGATGTCATCGGCATTGCAGAGACTGGTTCTGGTAAGACTGCTGCTTTTGTTTTGCCCATGTTAGCTTACATATCTAGGTTGCCACCGATGAGTGAAGAGAATGAGACTGAGGGACCTTACGCTGTGGTTATGGCCCCTACTCGTGAGCTTGCGCAGCAGATTGAGGAGGAAACTGTAAAGTTTGCGCATTATCTTGGGTTTAGGGTGACTTCTATTGTTGGTGGTCAGTCGATTGAAGAACAGGGGTTGAAGATTACACAAGGGTGTGAGATTGTGATTGCTACTCCTGGTCGTTTGATTGATTGCCTTGAGAGGCGGTACGCAGTGTTGAACCAGTGCAACTACGTGGTTCTTGATGAGGCAGATCGGATGATAGACATGGGTTTTGAGCCTCAGGTTGCAGGTGTGTTAGATGCGATGCCTTCAAGTAACTTGAAACCCGAGAACGAAGAAGAAGAGCTTGACGAAAAGAAGATTTACAGGACCACGTATATGTTCAGTGCTACAATGCCTCCTGGGGTAGAAAGGCTCGCTAGGAAGTACTTGAGGAACCCTGTTGTTGTCACCATTGGTACTGCAGGAAAGACCACGGATTTGATCTCGCAACAAGTGTTTTGGGTGAAAGAATCTGAGAAGTTCTTCAGATTGCAGAAACTGCTCGACGAGCTCGGCGATAAAACTGCAATCGTGTTTGTTAACACAAAGAAAAACTGCGACTTTATCGCCAAGAATCTGGATAAGGCGGGATACCGTGTGACGACCCTGCACGGTGGGAAGTCGCAAGAGCAGAGAGAAATCAGCTTAGAAGGATTCAGAGCAAAGAGATACAATGTTCTTGTTGCGACGGATGTTGTGGGCCGTGGAATAGATATTTCCGATGTGGCTCATGTCATAAACTATGACATGCCTAAACATATAGAGATGTATACACATCGTATCGGACGTACAGGACGTGCTGGGAAAAGCGGTGTTGCGACTTCGTTTTTGACTGGAACTGATACTGATATTTTTTATGATCTTAAGCAGATGCTTGTTCAGAGCAACAGTGTTGTGCCTCCTGAGCTAGCGAGACATGAAGCGTCCAGATTCAAACCAGGAACAGTTCCTGATAGACCCCCAAGACATAGTGACACAGTCTATATAAACTGAGTCGAGTCACTAGGGTCTGGATTTGCTCTTGAATTTGATAGTAGTTAATTTAATAGTCAAGTCGCAAATGAAATAGTTGGAACTTGAGAATCTTTTGGATAATTTTCTGCTAGTTTTTTGTTCAAGAGAAGCATGTTTGATTTTCAGTATAATATTCTTACGTATATTGCATCGCAACTGGGATAGTTGGAACTTGATAAACTTTTGAATTTTTTGATCAAGAAAAGCATGTTTGATTCTCTGTCTAATTTTCTTACGTCTATATCATCTCATATGTGTATTTTAAAATAAAAAATCATGCGATTACGAGTCATTATCGGCACAACGCTAAGCAAGAGACCATTCAACCTGGTTGTGCGGAAATAATTGTCATTAAAATATAGTCTTTAAACTTTGGCACTAGAGAGATTGTGAAATAATTTGATCTGAAATGGTTTTAGGACGCTGTAACAAATAACTTCAGATTTATTGCTATTTCTTATCCATAAAGCATGATTAATTGTGTATAACATATTAACTAACATCCATACAAAAACTACATGAAAAATACATTCACAATAGAAAGAAACAAATTTTCTCCCCTTATTGCTTTGAGTTACCAATCGGATCTATCATGGTTGGTTCGTGGCATATATAATACTTCAACTTTCAACATTCGTGGCATATTACTGAAGAAGAGAATGGTACCGAAATTAAATAAAAATGTAAGAAGTAGTACAATTAAAGTGAACATATCGCTTTTGGTATTATTAGTTCTTACAGTTATTGTGATTGTATAGCTATAGAGCGAAAAACCTCGACAAACAAATCATAACATATTCGTACCACTATTTTTTACCATTTTAAAAACCATAAGCTCAATTCGTTAAAAAATAACAATACGGTGAAAATCTTAACAACTCATGTGTCTATTAAACACTGTGTTTTTATTTGATAAAATTTGGCAGCTATCACAATTTGATGATTAAAAGATATTGGATTTTTTAAGAAACATCATAATGTTCGATATATATGTACTGGAATAATAGATGTTAAAAAAACCCCCAATTGTGTACTGATTTCCGATCAAAGGGATCTGACCAGACTGTTTAGATCAAATTTGATGTACTATCATATAGCCACACGTAATATATCTTACAACAATGTATTCATTTAATTGAAATGCATTTGAGTAATTAAGATGCAAAAGAGTATTTTGTATCCACCTTACCAAACAACGTATGTATGTATTTAAATAATTTCAACACTAAATTATATTAGAGTTATAAAAATATCAATATAATACTAAGTCAAAGTAGCTCAATGATAATTTTCTTTGTGGCAATTATTTGAACGACGTTATGGTCGAATGCGATTGGTGTGTCTTGGAGTTGATTTGTTCGTGCGAAGTCTGCCTGACTATATAATATTCAAGGTTGACCACATTTATTATGTAAGCACATACGTCATATTGTCTTCAAATCATTATCTTATTTCACACATCTTGAGATTCTGATTGTCGGTCTAATGATATTTTAATTTAGCGCAGTTGTTTTCTATTGTTCAGGTTATATTTCTTTGTTTTTTAAGGGTTAAATATTAAGGTTTTTTCTTCAACCACAAGTTCAGATGATTGAAATATTATTATTCATTGACATCATGCATGTAATGACAAGATTCCACCCCACCCAAACTAACAAAAAAAAAAAAAACCGTCGCAAACTGTTTATAATACATTACTAAAAGAGATTCATTGCATATTCTATCCTAATTTTTTAGATGAAATGGGGAGAGCACATTTTCATTTTGTATGTAGCGAATAGAAACTGAGTTTTTGTTTATTATATTCATACTAATTAACCATGCATGGGTTTATTAAATTATGTAAAATAATTTACAAAAAAAAAACATTATATTTAAAGTCAAATGGATTTGATGACACATGTACATGGGTTAAAGTAGCAAATGTAATAATAAGAGCTATTGAAATGAACAGTTGTAGGTGTGTGTATATACATAGATTGATCTATAAATATGAATAAATTTAAAGTTCTATATTTTTATTAAATTTAATAATACTGAAATCAGATTTTTAACTCCTATTTAAGTTGAACTTGAAAACAAATAGCATCAAGCACAATTTGTATTTTGTTAAAGATTAAATACAAAGTCTAACCCCCTGATATATATTGTTTGGGGAAATAATAATCCAGAAGAGATGGGAACACTTATGTATAATAATTAGCATCCACGTGAAAAAAATTGGATCAATGTGGTGTAATATTTTCTGAATCCACTCAATTCAATAATGTAATCGCGAGACTTGGTTGCAAACTCTACAATGATTTGAAAAGAAATCGGTTGTAGACGTCTATCGAACATGACCGTATAGATAGACACTTAATCAGCATCAAAGTACATAACTGAACGTAATTAAGATCTTCTTGGAACATGTTGACCGTTGAAAAGACAAATTCATTTTATGAAACAAAGTAAAGTCGGAAATTAATTGTTTTTGTTTTCTTCGGAATAAACCAGTGAGATGTTGATTATATGTTGTCATTAAAGAAAATATAATAGAAGATTCTATTGCAGTTTCATCTTAAATTATCTTGACTAGATCATGATGAATTTTCGTGCTTTGCATAAGTTACTCTAAATCTCTAATCCCTGAATTAATATAACAGATGGTTTCAAAGAAATATTCCCGAAATATTTTTATTGAACATAAAAGCTTGTGTTAAGTTTATTACCAAAATATCCTTTAGGTTACACAACCTCTCTCGATACTGGTCAACATAAACATGCGTGTGCTACTATATATAACATAGAGGCAGAGATCACGAACAACTTTGCTGTACCTTTGGCTTGTACCCAATCTATCTTTGACTACAAAAATAAAATTAACCATAATTATTATCATCGGATAATGCACAGTGGGAAGAGGCCTCTTTCACCGGAATCAATGGCCGGAAAAAGAGAAGAGAAAGAAGACTTGTGTTGTTGCTCAACTTTGTCGGAGTCTGATGTGTCTGCTTTTGTCTCTGAACTCACAAATCAACCCACCCAACTATCCATGGATTCATCTCCATCTCCTACCCCTCAAGGTTTTCTCATCAGATCCATTCTCTTATAACTATATAATTAATAGACATATTACTTTTGTGATTTTCTTTTTCATATTGATGATTCTCTTTTTGAGAAACATATTCGAAAGACTTAATCTTGGATTTTTAACATTGGTGACGCCTTAGTTGCTGCACCATGGCCTTGATCAAATGGAGACTTAATATATGGAGTATCAGTTTTATCTGTTCACAATGTATTACTTCAATTCTAAGAAAATGCTTTTGCATTTTACAAAAAAAAAAAAAAAAAATGCATTTGATGTTACATGGCTTGATTTTCTTAAGGTTGATGAAACTTGTAATAAACCGCCCTTTAAATTTCCAAAATTAATTAGTGGGGGAAAATTATCATATTTAGTTGATTTTTTTTTTTTTTGTCATCTTATCATATTTAGTTGATTATACACGAATCCGAATCATAGATAAGTAAAGCTAGCTAGGGCTCATATTATATGGCCAAATGTTAAGTAAGAAAATATAGGGACAATTATTTTTCGACATTTGTAAAAACATAGAAAAAAAGGCACAACTTTTTAACTTTAGTGTAGGAACATTCGAAAGGACTGAAAACATGCTTGGCTAGCTAGCTCGGTTGTTGCCTTTCAGAATATAGGAGAAAGTGTTAAAGATGATGGAAATTATTTTATATAGTAATAGCACAGGAGATAGTTAAGTAAATATCTATAGGTTAATTACTAAGTAAGAGAACAGTTTTTTTTTTTTTTTATGGAAGATCCCATTAGAGATGTAGAATTAATATTCATATCATATGATTCAAAACGCAGATTAATAATCTACACACATTATAATAATCTTCAACAAATGCCTTTACACCGGTAGTTTATGTTATTTAAGAAACAGCATGCGATATAAGCTATAACGAGTTCCCCGATAATCACGATGTGTGATTTAAAAATACATTTCGGTAGGATCCAACAATATATTTCATAGGCACGCATGCATGCACGTCTACCACCTTTATTTAATTATGTCACCGTTTCCACAAGAGTGAACTTATACCATTTTCTATCATTTCTACAGAACAAAGTAATTCGAGACAACGAAACTATAGAGGCGTGAGGCAAAGACCATGGGGAAAATGGGCGGCTGAGATCCGTGACCCGAACAAAGCAGCTCGTGTGTGGCTAGGCACGTTCGACACAGCAGAAGAAGCCGCCTTAGCATATGATAAAGCTGCATTTGAGTTTAGAGGTCACAAGGCCAAGCTTAACTTCCCCGAGCACATTCTTACCAACTCTCCATCAACCGATACTTCCCATGATCGTATTATCGTAACGCCACCTCCACCAATTGCTCCTGACATACTTCCTGATCAATACTGCCAGTTTCATTCTGGAAATAGCCAATCCGGTGCCAACTTATCCATGACTACGACGTCGCATTCTTCGTCTTCACTGAACCATCGAGGGCAGAGCACAAAAATGGAGGATGGTGAAAACGTGAAGAACATTAGTATTCACAAACGAAGAAAATAGCATCAAACGTATTGACCGTGGATGTAATCCGGCTTTGATTTCTTTTATGATTTCATGTTTAGATAGGCGTCTTTAAAGAGTGGAGGTGGTGCATTTAGTATGATCAGGTCTCATGGATGAAAAATAAACTTTTGGGACATGAATATGCACGAAGGGATATGAAGAAGACTTGGAAGAAAGAAAGATGTATCGGACACGTTCTCATTGGTCAAGACAACTAAACTATCCACCGATCACCATAGAAGATAGAGGCAGAGACCACAACACGCCCTAATTGGTTCAGCAACTGCGCATGATCGACCGATCAAATTTGATCTTGAGGAGACGCAGAAGAAGATCTTGAGGAGTAAATGTGTGTTTTGTAGATCAGCTACTACAACACATCATAAACCGATTATTAAATGAAGTCCGTGAAGGTTAAGGAGCGGAATATCATTCTTGTATTAGCATATTTCAGTTTTTCTGTGTTGGAGTTGGATTAGAAAATTATACATTATGTGGCATTAGGCATTATCTTAATGATATTACTATATATACACGTTAATATCTCATGTCAAAACAACAAACTCAGTAAGATTTATCACTATAAATCATGACTGGTTTAGGGAATTAATTAAGGATTATTGATGTATTGATGGTTGTTTTGTGATGGGAAAAACAAAAAAGAAGAAGATGAACTCTACATGGTCCCTACGTATATGAGAATTCTTAATTTTCTTAGAAATTATATGATCCTAGGTAATTTTACGCACGCAAAGTGTGAGATGAAATTCTTCAACCAATTAAAACTAGCTGATGAGGAATTCTTTTTACCAATGAAAGCCAATGTTTGGAACTAGGAAGTATTAGTATGAACTAGTAGACCTCTAACTCTATAAGTGATGTTTTTTTTTAATAATTCTTATGATCCAAACCTTTATGAAATTTTCTTAATTTTTTAAGAGTCTTTTAATTGGGTCGTTCTTGATTTTTTGTTCTCAAGCGGCACGTGACTAGTTAGTTATTTAAGCAGAATCAAACCATAACTATACCAAGAAGATAAAACAGTACTCTCAGGTACGGGACTGGAGTTTTAGGGGGTTTTTGCTTTCTAGACCACTAAAGAACATATAACAAATCAAAATTCTAAATTGAGCAATAGGTAAAGAATAAGTAAGAAGATAAACAATAATCTTCCTCGTTCCTCGCCATCTCTAAGCTCCATCAAGAACAGATCCCATGTTCTTCCACAAGACACAAGAACCAAAGAAAAACAAAACAACCTTTCTAACTTCAACTATAATAACTCAACTTTCTTCTGATCAAACATCCCTGAAATTGAGAGAGTGCCTATAATCGAAGAAGAAATTCTATTATATTTTTAAAAAGGGATCCCATGGTACAAGTAAAAAACAAAAAAGAGTTATTTACAAAGCGATATGCATCAATCTAAAATCTCAATGGATGTTGAATACTAATATATTGGTAACAAACAAACATACTCAAGAACACAACTCGGCAACCTACACAACACTCTCTAAGTTGGCAATGATCTCACAAAGTAATGTAGATATCTCCAAATCTTTGTTTCGAGGGTGGCTCACGGGTAACCATCGAGCACGCCTTTTAATAGGTTCAATCCTTCCGCAGATATGCTTCTCCTCACACGTGACTGCACTCGGATCTCTATCCTCTGTGGAGGATCAGGAGAGAAGCAAACAACAATCACAGTTAAATTGTCACATGTATTCCTTTTAAGGGCCTCCCTCACAAGCTCTCTAGAGCATCTCTCTGGATCATTATGAATCATCAGTTCCTTCCTTGCGATCGTCACAGCGCACTGACTGCTCATCACATCCCACAGACCATCACACCCCATTATCAAGAACTCATCGTCTTCACTCAGATCCGTTTCTTGCAACTCTGGCTCTGGGCTTAGAGGACAAGCAAAGCCTTTGGGACCTTTCATGTGCCAGTCTCCAATGGCACGCGCAACTGATAGTTGCCCGTTGAGGTAGCCATCATACACAACTCCACCTAACTTTTCTATTCTTACTCTCTCGGAACTGCAGTTTGGTTTGTGGTCTTTGGACAACTCAATTGCTCTACCTCTTCTCCCAAGCACTGCTCGGCAATCACCAGCATTTGCAATTATCAACCTCCTGTAAAGTAAGAAAGTAGCAACTCTTTTCAAAATCAAATCAAAACTACACAGAACTATGGTAAAACAGCGCATTACGCAAGTCTTGACACCAAGGATGAAAGTAAGCAATTACTCAAACCGTATTATTCTTTAACTTATACACACATGCAATCTGAACAAAATTTTATTGATGTTAAAGTTCATGGGCCTAAAGAAAGAAGTATTGATGATACAGTTGATAGAACGTTAATGAATTTAAACTGCCCCTTACCTTCCAGAAATAAAAGCTGTAAGGGCAGTGGTCCCAGAAGAGATGTCAAGAGAAGGATCCTCTGCAAATTCGTAATCAGCTTTTAGGAAAGCATTCTTAATTGCCTTCTTTACACATAGTGGGAAGTAGGAGTCCTCTACAATGAATCTCAGTATGTTCTTTCTGACAAACACTGCTGCATCTGTGCCACCGTGGCCATCAAATACCTGCCAAAGCAAAATATAAAACAGCGTTAAAATACTTTTTAAACTAACATCATTGATATAGTACTAGTACAAAAGAAATAAAAGAAGACGAATCAGGTTTGTGAGCTGCATTCTAAGCTCATTTGGGGTAAGGTTTGAAGATACACTCACCCCATAGAAGGCTCCAAGTGATGAGAATTCAACAGCTGCACCAAGGTGCTCAACAAGATCATCGATGCAAATGTGTTCATCTTCCATGAACTGTTTTGCCCCTTGTTCAGCACAACTTCCTGATCGGTATACAGGCAAAAACTCTGAATTTTCACCAGGTGACTTCATAACCAAATTACAAACAGCCACATCCTGCAAACAGAAACCAATTACATCGTTTGAATCCCACTACAAAAAAATAAAAATAAAAAAAGTTCCAGAGATTGTGCGTCATCTAAATTACCGCATTGACTGCAACCTGCAGCCTAGTAGTAGTAACTGTAGTGCTTGTGATATGTTGCATGGCAGAAAAGTGCCTCGGTGGTTTTCCTTTACTTATTTGCTTAGAGTCATCCAAGTTCTCTAAAGTATCAATTTCTGTTGCAGAAGCATTCTCCATGTTGAAATCGCCCTCTAGTACCGTTATCAAAGGTGGAAAATCCATACACGGGCGCTGAGTTCTTCTCTCAATCATATAAATCTATCAGAAATCCAGAAAGAGTCTCTTCCAGTCACAACTCCTCTTGTGTTTTTTCCTGGTAGCGTTTTCAGTCTGTTGCTTTCCAACAATTTCCTTTGTTCATCTTAGATCAGCAAAAACCAACTTAGAAGGATCAGAATTTTGTGAGAAACAAACTTCAAACCAAAGACCTTGAAATGGACCCACTTTGAAACCTGAAAACTACAGGAACCTTTCCTTCCGAAAGATCAATTTTTCAAAGCCAAAGAAACGATTTTCATTAATACCCAGACTCAACAAATCGAATAATCACCAAACCAACTATACAAGCTTCACAATTCTAATCAAGGAGCTCCCAAACAGAATTATGAACAAAAGGGTCAAGAACCAGCTACTCAAAGGTGAAATCTTTATACTTTTTGTGAGGTCAGATCAAGCAATCGATTATCCATAAATCTAACCAAAACCCTATTTAGAACCATACACAGAGCCTGAGTAGTTGACCAAAATTCAGAAATTCAGATGAATTCAGGTCTTAGACTAACCCCAAAAACCGATAACAAAAGAAATCTAGAAGCAGGTAGATAATTCAGAAGATAAGAAAATTACCAGAAAGAAGCTCTGAGATATTCTCACAGATGACAATAATGATTCTTCTTATATCCTGTTCTCTAACCCTTCAGATCCTCTTTAAGAAATTCTCGAAAAACCCAGAAAAAGCTATGGCGTTGAAGAAAAAAGAAGAGAATTGATTAAAGACGGATTTAGAAAGCTTTCTAGTTCTTATGTCTCGTTTGGTATTTGGTTGGCCACCGGCGATTCCAGGTAATCTCTTCGATCGTCTATCTGTCATACCCGAGATCTCCTACCGACACGTGTCGTTAATCGACGGCTAAGCATTACTTTGACCGGGTGGTACCGCCACCGAGTCCCAGCCATTAGATCGCTTGGATAGAAAACCAGCGGTTAGGATCTCGCCCACTCAATCTCCTTTTTGTCTTTTCTAAATCGCGAAGGGTAACCTCCGATATATAGCTGCATTAGATTCCCGCCATCCACGTGTCGATATTATAATGGCTGTATCGAATGTTTCGGCTATGTTCGCTACCGGGAAATTTATATCCGGATTGGGACTGAATTTAACCCAAACCGGTAGAAAACCAATATGGACCCGACAATTTGTTTATCTGATTTGATTTCTATCTAATGAAATGGTAGTACAATAAGTTAGCTAATGTTGTTCAAACAAAAAAAGGTTAGCACACGACAATATGCCGTTCAAAAAAAAAAAGTTAGCTAATGTTGTTGGTGATTGGACAATCTCATTGATGGAATCAGCATATTAATTGGTGCAATAATTATTTACTGACTTTACTGCTTTTAAAGGTATAAATTGCTAATGATTAAAGATAGAAAGTTTGATACCTAAGAGGCTAAAGACTAACAACCAATGGTAGTTTAACAGATGAATATATGTAGACATGTAGTGGAATGTTCTATTTGATTGTCGAATTGATTGGCCCTTTCTATTAGAAATCGGATTGGAAACATATATTTTTCCTAAAATTCATCAAATTTAAGAAGATGCATGTTGATGCTATAACTCAACATCTATTTATTGATTAGATTGGATCATAACAATGTAGAAAAAGAGAGGGAAAAAAAAAGCAAGTCAATTATCACAAAGCATCAAATAAATCACATTGGAGAGTAATTAAGGAGAGAAGCAATCAAAACTCGTTTGTTTTGTGATTGATTAATATTCGTGAATAGTGTTCAGTGGTTCACTTCTTAGCTTGTTGGTTAGCTGAATCTACAGCGGAAGGAGGAGCACTGCCGGAGAGGGTCGGTGCGTCGGTTGTGCCGCCGCCTTGGCCAGGCTTAACCTCTTCGTGACCGGAAGTTCCATAAGCGTTCTTCTTGTAATCTTCAATATTTTCATACTTTGTGTATGGACTCGTTTCTAGTGGCAGCTCTTGTTTCTCTGGTTTCTCGGACATGTTTCTTCAACCAAGCTTTACCTTTCTTTATTGCTTTGTTTCTGCTTGTTGTAAAGACAATATATTTGGAAGAGAAACAAAGAGTAAAATACTTATGAAAGACGTAAATAAATTTTGTCCAAAGAACTTGCACAAAATTGGCCGTGGAACTAGGGAGTGTTTTTGACTTGGTAATATCTTCATTATTTATTTATTATTACTGTAAAAAGTCCTTTCTTAAAATCTTGATTTCTCTGTCAAGCGTTTCACAACCTGTTCTCTATTGCATATGGATACCAAATCAAATTCAATTACATCTGATAGGCTGACCAAAATTATAACTATTTTGTGATACATTTTTTCACACAAATAGTTACACCTAAATTAAAAACCTACAAATATAAAAGAATACAACAAATTTTGTATTTAAAATCGGTATAAGAGACGTAGAATCATGAAAGAACTAATTGTGTGTACCTTCTTCTACTTCTACATAAGAAGAATCCAACACAGTTGTGAATCCTTCTTCTATCATCTGTCTCCTCACCAAGCTAACCAAATCCTTTGTCTCTTCAATCCACGGATGCATTGTATCTCCCACTACAAAAGCATGGACCTGATTCTTCATCTCGATCCAACTGCAACCTACTTCTTTGCTCACCCCGTTTGCTCTCATGTATCCCCAAACCCGTTCCACTTCTCTCATCCGCCCTAAAGCCGTGTAAATGCTCGCCAATTGTACATACGTTGATGATTCTCTCGATCCAAGGGCCATGAGCTTCTCTCCTGCGTAAGCTCCTAGTTCACAGTTCCCATGGTTCTTACACGCGCTTAGTAGTATCCGCCAAAGGCATAAACCGTGATCAATACTAGCTGATTCGATGAACTCTTTTGCCTCTTTGAGCTGTCCTGCACGGCTCAGCAGATCAACCATACACGCATAGTGGTCAACTTTTGGAACAATCCCGAACTGATCGGACATCATGTTGTAATAAGACCAGCCTCTCTCTACGAACCCTTTATGGCTACAAGCTGAGATAATATTCACGAATGTGACATCATCCGGTTCCGTTCCTATCGCTAACATCCCCTCGAAAAGTTCTAAGGCTTCATCTCCTCGTCCATTATGGGACAAGCCTGAAATCATCGCGTTCCAAGACACAACGTCTTTATTGGGAGTTCTTTGAAAGACGAGGTTCCCATCTTCTAAATTTCCGCACTTTGAGTACATTGTAGAAAGTGCACTTCCAATTGGAACTTCTAGACTGAACCCGTGTTTGACTGTGTGGCCATGTACTTGCTTTCCAAGCTCAAAGGTAGCTAGAGAGGAGCACGCTTTCAGAACGCTTGCCATGGTTGGTTCATTTGGGATAATACCTTCTGTTTTCATCTCGCAGTACAGAATCAGAGCCTCTTCGTTATCTGAGTTTTGAACATACCCGCTAATAAGTGATGTCCAAAGAGCGACATCACGTTCTTTTAGACAATCAAACCCTTTCCTGGCTTCTGCTAGACAACCGGCTTTCGCATACATGTCAACCAAAGCTGTAGTCGCGAATAAATGATTTTCAAATCCCAACTTTAACAAAAAAGAATGAAGTTGTTTCCCTGCTTCTACATAGCAAATGTCACTGCATGCATTAAGAACCCCAACAATCGTGTATTCACTGGGCTTGACTCCAGCGGAGAACATTCTCGAGAACAGCTTTACTGCTTCGAGTGATTCCCCATTCTGAGAATAGCCAGTGACCATTGCTGACCATGTAATCGAATTTCTGTCACCAGACATGTCAAACATCTTGCATGCCTCAGTCAAGCTCTCACACTTTGAATACATTGTAACGAGCGCGTTACTCAAAGCTACAAACCCGAGCAACCCATTTTTAACCGTGATGCAATGGATTTGCCTGCCTAGGCCTACGTATTCGGTTGCAGCCAGCGAGCTAAGGACTGCGGTGAAGACATAGTCACTATCACTTTCAACCTCTTTTTCTCTAAGAAACAAATTGAAGACTTTTATTGCCTCTTCAACGCGTCCTCTTGTAGCAAAACCAGAAACCATGGTAGACCATGTATAGGTATTTCTTTCAGGCATCAAGGCGAACACTTTAAGTCCATCCTCAACCAAACCCGCTTTACAGTACATGCCTACCATCGAAGTGTCAACGTATATATCCCCAAAACTTGACATTTTGACGATAAGTGCGTGAGCCTGCTTCCCAACTGTACCACTTCCAAGACTCGACTCAGCCTTAAAAATTCCGGCAAGGGTATAAGCGTTTGGTAGCATATTCTGTGATCTCATCTCCTTAAACAGCTGCATAACAGTGCGGGAGCTGGAGAGACTGCCGTTCTGAGAATATCCCGTGATGAGACTGTTCCAGGACACGACATCCTTGGTGATTATGGCATTGAAGATGGAGTGGGCTTTGGGTAAGTGTCCGCATTTGGCGTAAAGGTTGACAAGGCCATTAGCATGGTGGGTGCATGTCGATGTTTCAGTTCTGATGATCCGTGCATGAACTGCACGTCCAGCCATGAGGTTCCTTTGCTGTGAATGATGTGTCAGCTGGTGTAATAACGTGGAACTCTGAGTGGTCGAGTTGAGTTCTGTCTGGAAGGTACTTGGATGCATAGCTTTGATTGGTGTAGCACATTGTTTGTCCCTGCAGAGAATGTGATGAAAGTAGGGAATGCAATGTTTAGATTATCAGTTATTAAATAAGATCTGAACCATACCTAAGAACAAAAAGGTAAAAGGAGATTATCGAATGGAAAGGAGACATACTTACAGGGTCGTAATTCTCGGTTTATCTACACCAGAGTATTCTTCCAATCCAGGTTTCTGTCTTATTGCTAAATTCTGAAAATTTTGAATGACAATCAATGTTAATGGTACTTAAACAAATCACAAAGACACAAAACATGCAGATGCAGATGTATGTCTCTACCTCTGTGTCCAGCTCAGTGAAAAGGCCAATACTTCCAACTCCGTAAATGTCTTTCTCAATTTTCTTCTTTATCGCTGTCAAAATTACACAAGGAGGAACTTTTAAAAGCCAAATTACTTGCAGAGTGCCTATATCAGCAAGTTATTGAGACTTCTACATGATATGTTACAGAGGCCCGATCATTGCCAATGAAAAAGGAATGACAAAACGTTATTTAAAAAAACAAAATTTACCCATCATGGCGGGAGCTTTGGTCATAGAATTCGAACACATTTTGTGCTGCCTGAACATTAAATTTCCAACATTAGTGGCGTCTTATAATTCACAGATATCTATAAGGCATTTTATCGAACACATTGTGTGCAGAAAATAAAATATTTTAAGAAGAACAAAGCAAAAGGTTTGGACATCTGGCGAAATCAAGATCAACCTCATCCAAGTTTAGTTCAATGATACGATCATGGAAATAATTTCCATGGACTCTGCATTACCTCTGAGCTCAAATTTTTTGGTGTTGTTGATTTGATTCATGTTTTCATTACGGAGTTGACTATACTATTGACGAGCAAAATATGGAATTGAGAAACTTACGTTATCAAACTTACGGCGGAGACGGCAGTGAAATTGTGACGACGGCGCCGGCTAGGGAGACGGCGACGAACTCAGTACACTTATAAACACTTTTGATTGAATAAATAAAATCGAATATGCAACAATTAGTTAGGAGGACTGTCTTTTTTCCGGTTGAATTGTCTTTGACTCGTATAATTTCATTCCATTTAGTCCAATAGGCTATATATAGGTTATGTCTTTGTATCAAATCATGTGGATAGCTGGTACAAAATTGAACTAATTGTGATACACACAACAAATAATTACATAACCTATAGTATAATTTTTTTAAAAAAAAAATGTATAGGATTTGAGAAAGCCGGTTAAGTGAAAAAATGTATAGTGTATTGACCGGTCTGGTTTCTAGGGACCGCTTAAGAGGTCACCAGGTTTACGATTCTGATCTCGTTCCTTAACATCAACACTGGCCGTGATGTTCGCCGGAGCTGACTCAATATCGCCGCCGGTTCTAGGTCGTAGATTAGGCAATGGAGACTGCATTTGACCTGAATTCTCGCTCTTTTTCTTTGCATTCTTATGCCATTGCTTCAATGCCTTTGACGTTTGCTCATCAAACACCGATCGCTTCATCGTTGATCCCATCTAGATATAACATTTCATCTCCAGAGTAAATTAAAACAAGCTTAAACCAGACTTCTCAAAAGAGAACAGAATAAAGTGTAAAACTTTGACATGCCTGAGTCACGAGAGCGTAAAGAGGAAGTGTGATGTAACTGCAGAGAAACTGTACTCCCACACTGCATTAAGAATATTACCCTCAATAATGGTAGTGATTTGAAAAACCTAGTTTCTTGTAGCTCAAGAAAACACCATAAATGGATCTTGTTGATGAACATACCCGAGAGCAACCCGTATGATTATAAGAGCGAAATGGTGATGAAAACAAGACCGTAACCCAAACTCATACTGCAACAATGGAAGCAGAGTGAGAGAACTAAATAGAGATCATAGATGGGAAAAGAGAGCTCTGTGTAAATATTTTTCTTTACCCATATCCAGAAGAAGTAGGTGATCTCAAAGGCATTCTGAACAATCATGTGAAAAAAGCTCATTAGAACATAGACTAATACATACTTTTTTTTTGAATCGTTTTGTTTTATAATTGGCGAATATACCTGGAAGAGAATGAAGTGGATGATATGGAGGACTAACGCGGGACGACTTAACCAGAAATGTCGGTCAGAGACATTGACTAGTGGCATCCCTTGTATCACTGCGTGTCTCTCTTGAATTTCCAACGCCATGTCTGATATGATAGCCTGAAGCTTGGTCCCTATCGCTAATGTCAACTTCATACCAAACACAATTACTCAGTTTTGTTTTCTCTCTATAATCTTTCTCTATGTTGCTCGTTTAACGGAAGCAAAAGCTATAAGGTAGATTGGAGTCACTTACAAGTGGAGGAATCATGGTGATCACAGCAGTAACATACCATCCTAAAACGGTATACCAAAACAATTAGATTCTAAGCGATCTGTATGTTGAAGAACACTATAACACTGATCTAAAAAGACTAACCGTGAACATCAAAGAGTAAAAAGAGCATTACAAAGGCCCATAGCTCCGGTCTGCATTCTCCGAACGGTTTTAATATTGCATCAGAAAACGATGAAGAAGATAACTGTTAGTGATAAGAAGAAGAAGTGCAAAGAGGTTTCTAGGTTACCTGATTCCCACGACTACCTTGAAGTCGTCTTCCAATGACCTTTTGATGTACTTTTGGAAATTAAACTTCATCCCGGGTGCCAAATGGACCTAATTAACAGAGGATGTTGGAAACAAATCTCAAAGAAGTTTTCTGGAGAAATTTCAAGATTGGTTGCATAGTTTCAAGGAACTCACGCTAATGAACCCATGACGCATCGTCAAATAGTCAGATTTTCTGACGGATCTCAGCATCTGACGAAAGAAACACATCTGCAAGGAAAAAGAAAGTTTAGATAGGTAGAAACAAGATGTTATAAAGAAGCACATAAACAGAATCTACAAAAAATCATACAATGTAGAAGGAGAATCTATTTTTCGCCCAAGGATTGACATGCTCTCGAACAAACGATGTCTCGTGTGTGAGCCTAAATCTTGAAGGGTCTGTAAATTACATCAATCAAAAACCAAATCGATAATCTGCTTCCTAATGTGGTAGAGATAAACAAAAAAAAACACAAGCACAAATCTAACCATTCATCATTTCGTGATCGTTTATGACCTCTTCCTCCCAGACTTTCCATCCACGAATCTGCAAAACCGCAATGACTCCAATCCAACAATCAAAACTCACAAAACACAAAACACAGACCCTTGATTAACCATTATATTATACCTTTGCTCTTCCGAGCATCATGGTTATAGCACTATAAATCACGTGAAACACAGCCAAGAAGAAGATAAAGATATGCACTTGATGCAACGCGTTGAGTGATATAAGCGGCACATAGCCCTGAAACATTAACAACAACAACAAAAACACTGAGCTGAAAAGACAAGGTTGTGACCAAGAAAGAGAAGATTGAAAAAGAAAGAGATTGGTGACCTTCTTGCACTGAGCAGGAGCAGCGTCAGCCAAAACGCGGCGTTGAAAGGAGAGAAGATGCCTTTGGATGTGGTCGGTGGTCTTTGGCTTCTTAGCGTCACCACTGGGACCATCGTACGGACCACAAAAGGACATTGCGTGGCCGTATCTTGACGGCACGCACATGCTTGCGATGTAGTTTTGCCCAAATGTTAGTAGCAACGAAATGAATCCCAAAACCATCAGCTCTGCCACAAAATCAATCAATTCTCCCTAGTTTTTAAATTCAAAATCCAAACTTTGAGGGTTTTCAGATTTCTGGGTTACCGTTTTTGATCTTCTGAAGAGCTTCGTATAAGGCTTTCTTCTTTCTTTTCTCGAACAACTACGAAAACAATCGATGTTATAGCTAAAAATGTAGTGGATATCGATTGTTTCGGTGAGATATAGATTAGATTTACCTCTCCGATTTTGTGAATCATTAGCTCCAAGACGATAGAGATTAAGATGATAACGCCACAAACGGTGGAGACGGCCCATGTCGGGGTCTGATCGAGCTCTCTTGGACCTTCTGCAGCGATGTTACCGCCTCCTCCTCCTCCTCCACCCATTTTTTCTCTTTATAAAAAACAGATTTTGCTAAGTTACCTAGTCTTTTCTGGGTTTTACGATCATCAATTTCAATCCTTTACGAGCGATAAACGCGGGAAAACGCAGTCACGGAGGAGAGGTGTCTCCGTCGTAGTGCGCGAAATTATTCCGGGAAGACGAATTCCGGTGATGGAGATTTTTTTTTTTTTTGGTTTTTTATTTATTTTTGTTTTTGTTTTTTTTTTTGGAAATAATTGCTCTGTTTGTTCATGCTGGTTCGTAGGTTCTCTCTAATGCTTTTGAATCGGAAATGTAGGGGGAGATGAACGACTTGGCGGATTTATGGGTAATTTCAAATTTTGAAAGTAAAAAAAAAAATAAAAATAAAAACAAAATAAGCAGGTGAAAAAAGTTATCGCCGTTGCCGGGGATCGAACCCGGGTCACCCGCGTGACAGGCGGGAATACTTACCACTATACTACAACGACTTGAGTGCTCATTTTACAGTTAAGTAATACTTAATTATATCTAAATTCACTAGTTGATTATAACGAGAAGCCAAAGTTGTATATATATCTGAGAGACGTTTTGAGAGAGAATTAAGAGACAGAACTTAAAATTTTTAAAAAAGTTTATCAACTACAGGCTACAAATGTTTCTAGTGGAATCTAGTAGATAAATGTCTATGAAGTTGAGAATCAGTAGGCATAAACACTGGAAGTTGGCCTCCTCTCTGTGATCTAACCTGTTGGAAGTAACCAGTTAAAGGGTTTCCTCTAACCCTTCTGCTACCATCACTCCTAGAAGAAGTTATGTTGTTGAGACGTTCGTTAGCAGCAAGAGGACCACCTCCAGAATCCATTAATCCAGTTCCGGGAATCTGAGACGACGATACAAACCGGCCAGCTTCTGGATCCCAAACTACTGAACTCTCATCGCTTGTAGGCAAGTTTCTTCTAGCTGCATACCTGCTTTCTTCTTCGTTTAATGGTGACTCGTTAGCTGATGATGACATGTACATTGGGTTGAAGTGATCTCTTGTCAGAGCTGGGCTAAGGCTACAAGTGTTTTTGGTATGATTGCTACTTGCAGGGCTGCATATCCCGCTTACGTTGCTGCTGGTTTTGTATGGGTTGTGCCGGGAACTTACTGGAAGAAGCACTGATGAGGATGCACGTGCTTTTGCAGCTGCTTTAGATGCTTCGTTTGAGTCGAGTTTCGCTAGCTTCCATGGATTGATCCTTACTTGTTGACGCTGAGGTGGCTTCTTCTGTGTAAGCGTGTCTGGATCTATGGTGGATCGTACAGGTCCAGGCTCTAAATGCTGGATAACATCGTCCTGATAAAAAAGAGAGTTTATTATACAGATGAAGGAAGCAAACAAGATATCAGATTTGATAGTTTTTTACCTGTTGATCCATGAACATGTTCGGAGGTGTGCACAAGGAGGCACCACGGTATTGAATGCTCAAACCAAGAGAGCTTCTTCCACTCGCGGCTGTCACAGCTGAGCTTGTAGGTGAAGGTGGCTGACTATTTTGGTCTTGCCCATCTAAAGACGGTCCAGGTGGTTCGCTTTGCGCTCTCACAGCAACAACATATTCATACGTTGTGATTCCCTGCAGCAACAAAAGTTACATATCAACGCTTAGCTTCATGTTTCCTTATGTGTTTGTAGTGGAGACAAGGAATATATCAACAACATGATGCGAAAGACGATGGCACAAAACCTTTCGAATCAAAATAATATGGAAGAAGAAAAGTTCTCCAAGCGGTATTATAGCCAGAAACGAGAGAGTTGTACAGACAAGCTGCAGAATGAGAAAGCAAGCTGAAGTTAGAAACTGAGCATTGATACAAGATAGAATAAACCAATGTTATTTCTGCGAAGCATTACCACAATTGCGGCAAATGGAGGAAGGGAGAATCCAAGTCCAAGCTTTTCGGTTATAAGATGGTCCATCGCGTTTTGTTCCACAAAACAACGAACACATACAGCGACACCAACTCCAAACTCAACTAAAAGCTGTTGTCATATTTGCATAGTTACCTTATCTGGATAGATTATATACTATGTAATGGGATAAACTTAAAGTAACAAACTTTGTTGGAAACATACCCAGAAAAAGCTTGCCGCCATAAGACACACAAAGCTGATGTAGTTTTTCTGCCCCACACAGTTATTCAGCCACTAAGGCAGAAGACACTTGACATATTAACTATAATGCAAGTTAGAAATCCCAAGGAAAAAGAAAACTGTCTTTCAAATTGCATACCCGGCAATGATGATCAAAGCCATCGACACACTTGCCACAACTTCGACAGTGCTTGCTAAATTGACGTACCTTCGAAAAAAGAATGCAGTGTTACTGTTAAAGACGCAATAACAAGCTACTTACCAGAAGCAAATATACTAATATACCTCAGCATTGCACAATGAGCAGAACATAGCTTCTTCTTGTTCACACGATTGCTCTTGTTGGGTATCTGTACGGCAATCTTGTATTACTAAACAACCACAAATGAATCTTCCTATAGCATTACAGCAACCTGAGCCGTGTCTAGCATATGGCACACCATTAATGGCGTTCTCTGCAACAGAAACAGCATTATAATTATTAAAAAAAAAAAGTATCCAAATTATGTAGCCCTTGAGTTTCTTAATTGGATGACAAAATTTCTGCACAGCATCATCGGTAGGGAACTTACCAGGCACATAGTTACTGTTCTGTGACTTATGGGCTGGAGTGTTAACAGCCTCTACAAAGATTCCAGGATCTGCAGGATCTATACCAGTGCATCGGATGTACAGAACCAAAACCGAAAACGCCTGCACAATAATTATCAGGCAAAAGAGATATCAGAGTTTTGAGACATATAACAAGCTTTATGCATTTGAGAGCATAATATAACACAATGTTCGTGATTCTTCTTACCAAGAACGAGTAAACACCCATGGCAATGTACTCATAGAGCTTCTTCCCGAGGAAGGGAGCAAAGAAGGCATAGTATGCAATAGTTAGCAAGAAATATACAGTTATAGCAACAACCTGCAGATCAATAAATGATGTTAGATAATCGAAATTCTGGGATCTTCAAATGCAGATGGAACTATACACATATACCTATACAGATACTCAAATCTGTGTGCTTTCGTTTGAAGTACAAACACATAGAAGCGGAGGGAAAAAAAAAAAGAAAAAGAAGAGCTATCAGACAGGTTTTGAAGTGAATACAATCACAACAAAGTAACTCCCAGATACCAACAAAACATTGTTTTTATGTCATTTTCACGGGTATTACAAAAAGAACACACAATTGCAGATTACGACAAGGGATCTCACAATCGTTCAAACCAAAGTCCAAAATTGACCCTTTCAATACTCAGTGAAGTAGGAAAATTTATAGAGAAAAACCCTCAATAGTTAGTAACTTCCGAAACCTGAAATGTGTGGGCTGGAAGTTGCCACCCATGTCTTCTCGCCATTGCAGTGACGAAAAACAAACACAAAACCCTAAATGCTTATCTCGGGGGAGCCGAAAAACTCTAGATCACTCGAAAAAGAAAGATGAAAAACCCCCAACTTGTTCTAAAACCTTATACTCGTCCAAAAATGGAAGACGAATGATTTTTTTTTCAATAATCTTTTTCCCCTAAAATCAGCAGCTAAACTAGAGCATATCATTTAACGTTTTGAGGATGACCCGAGTTTATTAGCACTTATTTTCAGTCGACCCGTGAAGGAAAAATTAGGACTTTCATAAGGTTCATCAGCTTGAATTTATTGGTCAAAGAGTGTCTCTCGGGGAAGTAGTAACAAGCAGTTAGAGAAGAAAATGAAGGATATTAATGACTGGATTAGACTTAAACGAGAATTTGCCCTTTATTTCCCTTTTGAGTTAGAGATAATTATCCACCCAGTTTTTTATAAAATACATAAAAACATTTGGAAAAAAATCTTATTAGTCATAATGATTTTTAACTCAAAAACCAACCTACTCTAACAAGCTAAAGTAGATTTATTATTCTTAAAGCAACATCTAGTTTGTGCAAAAATATTCAGATTATACAACCCCCTAAGCTTCAGGTTGGTTCAGCAAAACAAGCTCCTCCTCAGGGAGCTCTCAACAGGACTAGCCATTTTCGTCTCCACCATCACGTTGATTCCAACCAACAACAGCTTACCATCCTTTACCATGCCTTGGATTGTGAGAAGCCTCTGAAGCATACGCTTAACGAATGTAAACTCGTTCCAAGTGTACCATTCCAACTGTTCCTTGACAACATTTTTCATATTTACGAAAGCTCTCATCACAAGCTCAGTCTCCAGTCTTGTTTCCACAAGATGTCTCACTGACTCTATCATCTTGTCTTCAATCTCTGTCACAGATTCAGCGTGAGATTCAATCTCTACCATTTGAATGATCGCACAAAAGGCACCTAAAAACGCCAAGACCCAGAAAAGTTTATCTTCCAACACCTGTCTTGGTGGGTTTAGCAATCTTCTTATTTGAGGGAGAAGCTTCTCCATTACAGGGATCACAAAGTCTTCTGCATCAAGTGGCATTGTTAAGCACCTGAAAACGTGGCATCCTTTAGCGAACTCTGTTTTTTGACAATGGGATGTGATATAGTCACGTAGATCGACCCATGTGTCCTCCTGGACGTTGAAGATCTCTTTTGCAACATGTTGCACAACTTGGCCGAGGATCTTAAACGTCTTCAAGTGGATTTCTTTTTTCCAAAGGCAAGAGATGAGCAACGGCTGGAGTTTTCTGATCACATCGATGTCGATAAGTACCTTCTTGTTAGTGTGATCAGAAAGTAAGACGTTGAGCTGACTGATTGCCAATTCTTGCTCCGAATCTTCAAGCTTATTTGAAGCCACCATTTCCAAGATCTGTAATGGTGACAAGCTCTTCAAATATTTGTCCCCAAGCCGATCAGATGATGATGAATTCTCTTGTGTTTTAACGAAACTAGGACGGAATTTGAAGCTTCGTTTTCCCATTTCTCCAGCTAACTCAGACACAAAACGGCATTGATCTTCATTGTAAGGATACATGTTATTGTCTCGTGTCAGAAACTTCTCGAGACCTTGAAGCCGTCGTTGCAGAATCTGTTTCATCCCCTTCTTCTCTAGCCCACTGGCTAACTTGACAAGAATGGAAAGAATATTACACTGTACCGAGTCATATCTATCTTCAGAATTCAACACCTGAATCCCTAGTTTAACTATCGTCTCTAAACCTAAACGCCAGTTTTCTCCCTCGGGATCAACCAACAACTTCTTCTCGGCTTCCACCATAACTCTCTTCATAAACCGGTCGAGAAATTCCCGGTTCTTGATCGGTGGCAAACCAAGAAATACATGGAAAGCCTTGAGAGGTTCAGTATCCGCAAGCGAGAGAATACACTCGCTGAGCTCGTCCCATCCTTCGTTGTTTAACGTCATGACATTGTAAGCTACAAAAGAAACGATGGTCCCTAAGATCTTGGCCTCGTGAGATCTTTTCATGTGTTCTTGCTTCGTAAGGCAAGAAATGACGATTGGCTTGATTTCTTGGAGAGCGACGGGAGAGAGTTCGATGCATTTGTCTCTTAACTCGCAAAGAGTTTCAGAGAGGAGACGGATCGATCGTAATCTGAAAACTTCATCGGAAGAATCTCGATACACCATGAGAAGCATTCGAGTGAATGCATTCTGGAAAGTTTTGACGCAGAAATCGTAGAGAGCCTTCGCTGCTTTATACTCGTTGGTGTTTTTACGGTTGATGAAGAGTTTATCGACAAGAATCGCTAGATTTTCCTCGCTCGGACTCGCCACAATTTCCCTTGCTTTTGACATGCTCATTTTTTTCCGAGAAAGTTTAGCCGGAGAATATTTTTCTGGGTTTAACGGTGGTTGAAGATTTGTAAGAGTTTATACTTTTTTTTATTATTCTGAAACCGAATATAACTGATTTGTATCGGAAGATCTTTTATCTATTAAAAACAAGAAACATTCAAGACTGCGACGTTCTCAGTAATTTTTTTTTTAAATCTCATAAATCTTCCTTTTATTAGAAAAGTTAAAAAAAAAGAAATAAATCTTTTCTGGATTCCGATTTATTAGTGTCAATAGTTCTCGTTTTGGTGTTTAAAGAGAAAACCCAGACTGTGAATTAGAAGTCGCACGCCGTGTCGTTTCTCAATCACCGGTCAAACTTGCTTCGTGTAGAGAGAAATGCATTTAAGCGAGAACGAAGGTGTCGAAGGCAACACCTTCGTCGTCACCGGAGGTCTTGGCTTCGTCGGTGCCGCCCTCTGCTTAGAGCTCGTCCGCCGTGGAGCTCGCCAAGTCCGCTCGTTCGACCTCCGCGAGTCCTCTCCTTGGTCCGATGAGCTCAGAAACAGTGGCGTTCGCTGCATCCGAGGTCTCTTTCCTCGATCCCTTATTATCCTGCTCTCAATTTGATCTTTAACATCTGAATCTCAACAATTAGAGATTCAGATGAGTGTTAATTAGTATCAGATTCGAAGAATTAGAGAGTGATTTTGTTGGAAATGTTGACAGGAGATGTGACTCGGAGAGAAGATGTGGAGAAGGCACTAGACGGTGCGGACTGTGTTATGCATCTTGCTTCCTATGGCATGTCAGGGAAAGAGATGCTACAGTTCGGGCGTTGCGACGAGGTTAACATAAACGGGACCTGTAACGTATTGGAAGCTGTGTTCAAACATGAGATCACAAGACTTGTGTATGTAAGCACTTACAATGTTGTGTTTGGTGGTAAGGAGATTAGCAACGGCAATGAGAGCTTGCCGTATTTCCCACTTGATGATCATGTCGACGCCTATGGTCGAAGTAAATCGATTGCAGAACAGTTGGTCCTCAAGAGTAATGGTCGACCATTCAAGTAAGCCCATGGTACAAAGGATCCGTTTTTGAGGCGTCTAATTATTAGTCTTCTCAACTTCCCTGTGGTTTATGTAGGAATGGGGGCAAGAAGTTGTACACATGTGCAATCCGTCCAGGAGCTATTTATGGACCAGGAGAAGATAGGCATCTTCCTAGGATAGTTAATCTAGCGAAGTTGGGTTTGCTGCTTTTCAAGATCGGTGAACCGAGTGTTAAAACAGACTGGATTTATGTTGAGAACCTTGTCTTAGCAATCATCCTGGCAAGCATGGGACTCTTGGAGGACATTCCTGGAAGAGAAGGAGTGCCCGTCGCTGCTGGTCAACCATACTTTGTCTCTGATGGTAACTACATCTCTTAAGACACTCTCATTTAGCCTTAAACATTTACCCTTTAAAACTTGTATTGTGACGATGCAGGTTCCCCGGTGAATACATTTGAGTTTCTACGTCCCTTCCTAAGAAGCTTAGACTATGACCTGCCCAAGTTTACAATATCTGTGCCTGTTGCGCTGACATTGGGTAAGATCTTCCAAGGTGTCTACACTGTCTTATATCCATGGCTATCAAAGAGCTGGTTACCACAGCCACTTATTCTTCCTGCTGAAGTCTACAAGGTAAATAGTTTTCCCCAACTCATATTCCCGCTCTGAGATCACAAACCAAGTTGTATGAAACTGTCGATCTGGTGCAGGTCGGTGTTACCCATTATTTCTCATATCTCAAAGCCAAGGAAGAGCTTGGGTATGTTCCATTCAAGAGCCCCCGGGAAGGTATGGCTGCAACTATCTCATACTGGCAGGAGAGGAAACGGAGATCTTTAGACGGTCCAACCATATTCACTTGGTTAGCTGTTGCACTGGGAATGTCAGCTCTTTTCGCTGCGGGATGGTTACCTGACATAGGACCTGTGCCTTTCTTAAGAGCCCTAAGCCTCTTCTTCTTCCGGACAATCACGATTGTAAAGCTTGTCTTCGTCGCAGCAGTGTTAGCACATGTTGGAGAAGGAATCTATGCTTGGTCTCTGGCCAAACGAGTCGACCCTGGCAATGCAATGGGGTGGTTTTGGCAAACCTGCGCTCTTGGGATTTTCTCAATGCGGTTTTTGTTGAAGAGAGCCAAAAGACCACAAGGTTTAAATTAAAAACCAGTCTTGTGTTGATGTTGTAATCAGAAAAAGTTTCACAACAGTTAAGTTATTCAAGATTGAGAAAGTTTGAAATAAAAGAAAGATTACATTAATCAGGAGATTCCAATTTTTGAACAACTCAAAGTTCTAAAAATGAAAAAACCACATAAACACAACAAAACAGGTTAAAGATATTAAAATTTTCCTTGTCTGGACAGCCAACTAAAAACCCTAAAACTACAAGAAATGAATCATCAATTCTAATAATAAAAAGGTTTGTTGGTTCTTAAGACGACAAATGCTCTACTTCCAGGGCATGGAGAGGTTGGTGTTGTTGTAAGGTCCTCCAGTGCTTTCATGTCCTCCACCAGATGGCTCACTCATTGTGCCTCGAGCTTGCGGGCTACTCGGAGTGTTCACAACCTGAGTTGAGGCCACACGCGGTATTGTGAGTGACGATCGTTCCACTTGTCCCCCATCTTGTTTTTCTTCTTTCTGCCCGTCTGGTATGAAACTCCCAACCACAATCTGTGATTTTGAGACCCAAAATATGTCCTTACATTTGCTCTTATGAACAGTGATATATCAAAGATTTTGTATTGGAAGAAGGCAGAAATTACCTGAACAGGTGATGCTGCAATCAGAAGTCCAGATACACAACCACCTAAGACATTACCATCCGGAGCCGACAAGGTCACACTAAGACCTCCCATCCTGCTTTTGTGACCATTGTTCTCCAGCAGAAGGAACGAGCCCGTTAAAGACAGAATCTCAAATCTCCCCTGATGTTCAATGTAAACAACTCACTTAGAGATAAGAAGCAAAAGGTCAGAGACAAATAAAAATTTGAAAGCCAAATCTTGATACCTCATATGTAACAGTTCCACCGGATGTAGCGGACTGGCGAAGAGTCACGTTGGAGACAGCTCCATTAGCAGACAGGACACACACAGTGCGTGGCCCATTTTGAGAGAACCCCATTATCTTCGATGCGATATCCTGTCCCAAAATCATAAAAACTGTCAGCTCTTAACCCTTGCATAAATCTCAAATGGACCTAATGTTATGTCAGCACTACAAACAACCACACAAAATATAATCTTTGTCAGGTAACAGAACACTAACATTCTCTAGTTATCAACAATGTTTTTGACCTTAACACAACAACTCACACTCTCGACATTCACATGAAATCAAGACTTTAGTGATCGTTACTGGAAACACGAGTTAAGACTGACATATAAGCAGTAAAATAAGGAGATTCAATAAGCTAGAGGGAGAAAGAAACCTCTCCAGCCCTCACGGTCATCACATGAGGCGTAAATCCGACTCCTGTCGAGCCTGCAACAAGGAAAAGGAGAGGCATATTCAGAGCTCAAATTGCAATCTAAAGTAATAAGAATTAAGACCAATGAACTAAGAAACTCCACAATTACAGTAAAGACAATGAGAAGCCAAATGCCACAAAGCAAAAGTCAAGGTTGCTGGAGGATTTAAAAGAGTGGAGATGGTTGAAGAAGATACGTTAAAGGGCATATAAGTAATTTGAAAAGGAATCTAATCCCAGGGGATAATCGAGGTTCCATATTCACCATTTTACTTAAGTATATTCTAATTGATTGCAGCCAAGCCACCAAAACTTTCCACTTCCAGCACGTGAGGAAGAAGATTCCAATAGAAAAAAATAATGTATAAATACCTAAAGCATCAAGCTTGTCCCTTTGGCTAGAACCAGCAGCTCGTCCTCTCATCTTCTTCACAGTAGCCGGGGTTCCTCCGCCGGAGCCGCCGGAGACGCCGGAGACGCCGGAGACGCCGGAGCCACTTGGTTGGCCGACTGAGAAAGATGAAGCTCCGGGAATCAAACCCAGCGACATTCCGCTTTCCGGGCCGTATTTCCTCGGCCTACCTCTCCTCTTCTTCACAGGCTCACTTCCGGTCATGGAAACGGGCACGTTCATGTTCAGGGCAGGATTCCCGGCGCCGGCTGAGTGGTGTTGGTACCCCGGCGGTGGTGACAGCGACGAGCTCGTCGGCTTGTAGACGGCGGTTCCATCGGCGCCGCCGGCGAAGGACAATTGCATGTTCTGAGACTGCTGCGGCGGCGGAAGTTGATTGTGCTGCGGCGGCGGAAGTTGATTGTGCTGCTGCTGCGGCGGAGCTTGGTTGTGCTGCTGCGGCGGAGCTTGATTGTGCTGCTGCGGCGGAGCTTGATTGAGCTGCTGGTGGAGACTCATCGGAAATGGCATTGATTCTCTGTTCGCCGCCATCAATCCTGTCTCAGATCCTGACATTTTCAGTCACTTTCTCAGGAAAAAAAAAAACTGTTAACAGAAAATTAACCGCAAAACCCTAGTTTCCATTGAAGCACTGAAGTGGAGATTGTACCATCTCCGAGGAGAGAAAGTTCGGAATTTTAGCCCTAACCCTATTCAAACTACAGACTAGAAGGTGAAAAAAATCCAGTTTAAACCTCGAAGATTTAACAATTCTGCATTCCAAAAAGGATTTTTTTTTAGATCTCTCTACGAAAAATTTAGAGAGCGAGCGGATCGCGCTTAAAGGTTAAAAATAAACTTTAAGAAAAACCAAAAAACTCCGACTTTTTAAAATATATTAAAATTTACAGAAAGAATTTTATTTATTTTCATCTGGAAATTTTCAATTTGACAGGGAGGAAATAAGAGAAATCAAACAGAACATCTCGAATTTACATTAAAATGAAAAAAGAGAAAGAAAGACGGTGAGAGAGAAAACTTACGATAACTAGGCGAAAATTCAGGGATTAAAGCAGAGAGGATCCCTGCCTACAATTTTTAAAGCTTTCTTTTTTCTTTTTCAGACTTGAAGAAAATATATTTTGGTTTTTGACGTCTACCAGAAGAAGATATATAAAGAGTTGTAATATGTCAAGTATGTGCCTAAGTAGGAAATAAAAGATTTTTTTGCATATCAACATATTTGGATTATTATGTCAAGTATGTGACTATTTCCATTTCTATTCTTTGTCTTTTTCACCTCATTTTAATTCCTTAATTTCACTGCCTACTATAGTTTTCCAGCTCATTTGACTAATTTTTATTTGGAAATATAATAGAATTTTGAGAAAATATATTGTTTTTTAAATTCTATTATAGAAAATTTGAGAAAATACCTTTCAATGAATTTATATTTTTAAAACTACCCCCATATTTTTTATTTTCCCTAATTTCACTCTATATTATGGTTTTTCAGCTAATTCACTCTTTTTTCTTTGAAAATATATTAATTTTTAAATTCTATTATAGAAAAGTTGAGATAATACCTTTTCATAAATTTATATTTTCAAAACTACCCCCATATTTTTTTTTTTCTCTAATTTTACTTTCTATTATGGTTTTCGAGTTAATTGACTCTTTTTTTTGTAAATATGATAAAAATTTGACAAATATATATTGATTTTTGAATTCTATTTTAGAAAAATTGAAAAAATACATTTCAATGAATTGATATTTTGAAATACAACATTTTGTATGGTTCTCATGATGAAATCAGTGTTTTTCATTTGAAGTCTGCTTTGTCTTACCATCTCTTAAAAGTAATTCAAATTTTCACCTGCTCTATTTTCTTAGAATATTTCTAGATATAATCTTGAATGAATTTGATGATAGATGTGATTATTTGATTGTGATGCTTTCGTTTGTCTAACTACACGTACGCTCATGTTGGAATGAATGACAAAATTAAGAATCTTAAAAATACCAACAAAAATAAGAATCTTAATTGTAATTTGTAAAATAGACGTAGATATATATATACATTACAAGCAAGGATGCGCAAATTAATTACACAACTTCTACTCAAGTCTGAGCGGTTGATTAATTTCAACTGTGAGCGTGCTTCATTACCGAGCTTTATTACGCACAGCTTCTGGGAATATTATCTGTGAACAAGAATAATGAGTTTTAGGTAGATTACATTTTGAAACTATTGTGATTTTGCATGAAACAAACTATTGTTTCTTATTGATCCCGGTTGCTGTGAACATAAATTAAGTTGGGACAGCGTTGATATGAATAGTACTTCGTTTGTATATTTACTGTGTTAATAATTTTGAATAAATAAAAAAACCACGTATTTACCAGTTCAAAAACCTAAATATTGTATAATTGTATTTTATCAATTGTCTCTAAATAACAGTGTGACAATATAGTTTTTTTTTTGTTATTATTAGAACAAATGAATAATGTTAAACACACCCATCACAATTTTTTTTCTGGAAGTGATATGAAGAAATTGGCGTATACTTCACCATATGACGTGCATGTTGTGAAATTGTAATGTTGACATGTTAAAAAATATATTTACACTTAAAAACATGGTATAAGTTAACAGAACATTTGGTGATCAATGAAAAAATATGGTGAAGAAATAAGTTCTTATTTTGAAGCTGACTGAAGGTTCAGCAAAAAAAATTGGTGATGACAAAAAATTTGGCACAAAATTTGGTGGTAATAATCACTAGGTTGTTGTGATGTTATATATTGAAACTAAATGTGTGAACTACTTCCTTTACCTATGGAGATTGAACTAAGAAGATGAAAGCTCTGTTAAAACCTCTGGGTATACCTCAATTTCAAAAGGTTTAAAAGTTCAAATATTTACCAATAATATGTATTTTACTTGATTTTTGTTTTTTTTTTTTGTTTTGAACAATACTTAATTTTTGTTACGTACAAGTATTTGTTGTAAGAAACTTTATGTATCATACCAAATCTAATTTTGTAAATTTGTATATCGCAGAAGTCGAAATTCTAACCTAAAGAGCATTTTGCAAAGATATAAAACAATTTTGGTAACTTAGTAGTTTTGAACATTAACCTTATTTTACTTAGTGAGATAGATCTAGTTTCCTACTTTTTTTTACAGTATTTACCGAAGAAAACTGAAACAATTTATCTTGTTGTCAAATGAATAAATTTGTTTTGTTGAAGTTGTTATATCTAATGGTTGACTAAACATTTATTAATGCTTCCATACTACGTTTAGATTTGAGATAGTGTTAATTAAGGTAAAGTTGTCTACTGTACATAATATGTAAATAAACTTATCGGATACTTTTAAGACAGTGGTAATTAAGTAAAGTTGTCTATTGTAAATAAGTGTAGATAATACTGTCTAATCATATATTTTATAGTACAATAGGTGTTGGCGCGGGAATTTTGATTTTAAACTAATTTATCACTATATTTTGGGAATGCGATAGCTTGTTCCTATAAAAATGGCGTTTGGATACACATACGGCATGGCAAAGTCAAGGGCTGTCGATGATCAGCCTATAGTAAAGCTCTCTTTCAAGTATCCTCAATGTCTACGAGGAGCATTCTGCTTGAGTAAAAATAAATAGTTTTGTCATTTTAAGTTCTCAATGAAAGAGATGAATATTGTTTGCTGTTGTCAAGTATTCGATTTGTTTCGAAGTGACTTTGTAATCTCTTATAGTTTCCGACAGCCTTTCTTTGAATCGAGTTGAAACAGAGCCGTAAATCTCTTCTCTTTTCTTATTTGTCCTCATAGCAGAATCTAGCTAGCCATTGTTTTAGGAGCTGGATCCTTGTGAGGCCATTCAAACAATTCATTTCCACGAGAATAAGCGAGAGATTAGACAGAAGTTAGTTGCAAAAATTTGTGAAAGAAGCTAATTGCAACAGTTTAGTTCATGCATTCAAGCTGTCTAAAGATGACAGTGAACATAGAAGCTAATAAGTTAAGTAGTATGACAAATTTCATTAGCAAACATCTGTTCAGCAATTCATCTTTTCGTTAAATCATTTATTGTCTCTTTTTTTTTAAAATGTTGCTAATTGTGCAGGAACCCATCAATGACCAAAAAGATGACATTTTGTGATTGGTCCAAATATGAAGAAAAAAAGAAGATGAGAGATTCGCTTTTAGTTTGAAAAAAATTATCCCGGTGCAGCTCAGCTTTGTTTGGTTCGGTTTTCTATGCCCACCCATGTTTCTACCAATTCGATTTCATGTCATTTCGTTGCTAAGGCATTTAGAGTGAATCATAAAACAAGCCTCCTTCTTAGCAAGACAAGACTGAAAAAAGCAACAGCATTTTCAAACTCAAAAGTGGCTACTAACATCTAACACTCTACTCTATCTTCAGCTTTCCGGGCTCTTCTTGTGTGGAAGAAGATGTTTAAATGATCAACGAAAAGCAGATTCTTCATCTCCTCCATTTGTTTACGGCTCCTCTCCATTTGCAAATCCAATTTCTCGAAATGTACAATCCTATCTCGAATCTTCGTCATCTGTTATACCAATTTTGTTTTTCCCAACATTAATCAAAATTAAGCATAGACATACAAAAATGTCTATGGGAAGTTGGATATTATTACTGACCTCTACTTCTACAATGTCTCTGATGGCTCCTTCTACCTCCTGCTCCTCCTTCTCAATCTGAGATTTCGCAACAGCCAAAGCTCTCTCTGAATCGTTTCTAGCGGTTTCACCACTCGAGTCACCATTGATCTCTGTGTATCAGAAAACAAAAATGTCACTAATGTGGGTTGGCTTGGGATAGAAACAGACTGAAAATGTTAGCTTGGTTCCTTGATACCTTGTCGACTTGGGTCTCCACCAGCGTTTTTGTCAGCCTCGTAGTCTACATCAGATAGAGCTGACACTGCAGCTCGAGCTGCTGCTTCTGCAACATTTGCGCCAGCCAAAGCTGAAAGAAAGGCAGCCTGGAGAGAATATGATAAGAAGAATCCAATTCAGAGACAGTCAATGAAGCATAGCATTTGAGATGTAATACAAGTAACACAGTACAAAAAAATCATCTAATACGGTGTAATTCCTAAACGCCCTGTATATGACACCTAGAATTCCATATTACAAGGGTTCAAGAATTTAAAGGTAGCCAAACAAGGTATTCTAGCTATAGGGAACAGCACAGTGCAGAAACTGGACTATCTTTAAGCAGCCTAACAATAGAATTGATCTAACGGTTAAGAATGTTAATTGTACCTTGTCAGCAAAAAGTTTCAATTTTCATGCATATTGAACACTTGACACAAATGAGATTAACACATAGAAAGAGAACTCATATAGTCAAAAAGTAGTTTATTTCAAACCTGAGCCATTATAGGGTTGCTTGCATCAGCAAGAGGAGTCAATTTCATCCGCTTATTGGGAGACGAACCGTCTTTAATTCTTCCTTCAGACTCAGGTCTAGGAGAGCCCTTGATCAGATCAAATGCCTCCAAAGCATCCTCAGAGTCAGACTCTTTGCCAAACTGTTCCCCAAACGGAAGCTTGACAAACTGAGAAACACAATCCTTCTCACTTCTACCAGTAACATACGGTGCAACCTTCTTCCAGTCATCTCCATAGTGCATAACAGCTTCCAGCAGCTGCAGAGTTTCCTTCTCCGACCACTCTGTCTTCGACTCCTCACTTAGCTCAACACGCTTAAACTCCGAGGCGCTAATACCAGTACGATAGTTACCACGGACATAGCACCTCGCACACAATGTCAACTCATACTGAAAAAGAAACAATGAAGAGTACTTTAGTTTCATAAATATAGAGGCTTTGCTATTGGCATATTCCCTTGTATCATTCATCATCCAAGTGAATCAAACCTTATCAGAGGCGAAACAAGCTACGCTGCAAAGTAACTTGCAGCCATTGCAGATTCTCTTGGCAGTTTCTTTGACTGTTGAGGGAGGATCGGAGGCAGCATCTCCGGCGGATTTCCCGGCCTCCTTTTCGTCCCACTTGAGTGGCTTAGCAGAGGTGGAGCTAGAATAGTTGATAAGCCCCCATGAGTCGAGGAAATCAAAGACGCGACGAATAGAGACAACATCACTGACGAGACTTCTCCGAACGTCCGTGAAGCTAATCTTCCGAGGATGGTCGTCTCTGTACTGCTTGATGATTGAGTTCCTCAAGTAGAGGTAAAATTTAGGGTTTTTCGAGGAAGATCTCGAATCGAAGAATTCCGGAAGCGAACGGACCTCGCATTCGTTGATGTCGGTCCACGAAAACCACCCTAATCGCTCAAATCGACGGTGCCAATACAAAATCCATAAGAAAAATTGTATAAAGAAAAAAGAATAAGCCAAGGTTCCTTGGCGATGCAGACTTACGGGAGTAGCTAGGTATGTAGATACAATCTATATCGGAAGAAGAAGAAGGCGGTTGCGAAGCCGCGGAGACTCCAGACGGAGTTTCAGGCGTGACAGGAAGCGAGGGAGTAACGGGTGAAATTTCCCCAGATCCGCCGAAATTTGGAGCTTTCGTGGCCATGACTCTGTTCAACTAACGCCACTTCGCCGGAGAAGATAGAGAGAGAAAAGAAAAAAGAAAGACTCTAATTAAAAGTCCGACAGCTAAACAGGTTCGGGTCTGGGTCCTGCTCCACGTGGAGTTCAGGATCCGGGTTCGGTTTAGGTAAACCCAGCGTATAAACCGATGGAAATTAGTTTTTTTTTCAAATTACCAAATTCGTTCTTTTCTTTTTATGTCCTACATTGTAATATGTAAGACTAAAGTGTGCCTAAATGTCTATAAAATTTTATTTTGATAGAATCAGGGGTTATAAACCATGTTTGTAAACATTAGATTCGGCTATACTTGATGTTATGTTCCGTTTTTTCTTATACATACCAGCTGAACTAACTCTAATTGAAGTTTTTTTTTTCTTAAGTTGATTGAAAATAGAAATAGTAACGTTTAATGTGATGGCATAATTTCAAACGTAACTCATTTGCTAAACTTTAAAAGCTCAGAAATTCTTGATGAAACTTATGTGCACAACTCTTATTACTGAGTAAAAGATGAGCGAAAGTGTGTGCAGATTACTACATATAACACATGGGAGCCAAGAACATGACCAGAAGCCTCATTTGCTCTTTATCCCAAGTTCTCAGTCCACAATCTTAGCTTTCCGGTAGCTCTCTACGGAATCCACAAGTGTTTCCTCCAACGGGCGGAAAGTCCAACCCAACTTCTGCAATTTCTCTGAACTCATTTTCGCCCTTTCTTCCACTTCGACGTATCTGTGACATTGCATAAGTAGAGCTTGGATCAAAGTTAAGATCTTGAAGAAACTTCATACACTAATCTAAAAGGTTGGTGACAATGAACCAACATCAAATATTCTGTTCTTAAAGCAAAATACTGCAGCCTAATCATAACAGCTTATTATGTTTTAAGGGGTTTCACTCAAATTGTGAGCAGAGAGAGAGAGAAGAGACATATGTTGTGGTTTGCTTACCTCTTTGGGTAGTTGTAATTTGGGTAAAGACTTTTCAGCTTCTCAACTATATCCTGTTCTTTAACCGTGTGGGCTACGCATATGTATCTTCCTTCAGCTTCTGCTTCCTCATAAACCAAAAGTAACGCTTGAGCCACATCACGCACATCCACCACAAGCCGCACTTGGTTATCCCGTGATTCAAATCCCTCTGCACAAACACAAAAGTCAAATCAAGACCCAAGATTCACCAACCCATATACCCAAGTTTCTTCTACTGGTCCCAGGCTTGTGTATACCTTTAAGAAGCTTGACAAGAGCAAGGGTACTAGCATTTACTGTGTGCTGCTGCAATATAGGTCCAAAGACCATGGTAGGGCAAATGCTGACGAGATCAATCCCGGTTCGTTTTGCAAATTCGAAAGCTTCACTTTCTGCTTGCGTCTTTGACAGACAATACCAATTCTGCCAAAGGGTCTAAACACAGTAAACAAACGATGTGGAACAAAAATGAAATATAACAACAAGTGAGAGAGCAGGGATTCAGGATGCATCAAAATGAAATATAACAAGTGAGAGCAAAGGATTCAGGATGCATCAAAAACCTCGGTTTTTCTGCAATATTCCTGGTCAGACCAACAGGTCTCATCTAAAACCTGATTCTTTGACCACTTAGGGTTCATCATAACAGCAGCTGGTCTTATTTTTCAGTTATACTTTAATAGTTATGGTGATACTAATTTTGAAACTTTGTTTGAAATAAGCTGGTGCGATCATTTCTACCTGTGAAACAAATGCAAGGCAGAGTAATTGAGACAATGTAAAACATAGCTAGATGAGATTAGAGCTATGAGATCCTCACCTCAGGATTTGGGACTGAAGATGATGGAACCGGGCATGCGACATGGAAGACGCCTCTGCAACCTGCAATAGCAGATTGAAGAGATCCATAGTCCAGCAAATCAGCCTTGAAGAGCTTGAGTTTCTCACCGGCTTTCCCTAGCTTCTTCAAATGAGAATACTTTTCGTTGTCTGTAAAACATAAACCATGTAAAGTGAATCTCTTGATCAGAAACAATAATATTGGTCAATGAATTCAACCGCTAAAAGAAGAGCATCAAAAATATGTTTTTGAAGGCGGAACTAAAAAGCTAAAATCTTTGAAACTACAACGAGAATTCCAAATTAGACCACAGAGTTCTAGTTTCACATACACAAGTAACACAAAAATGACCTACAAGATCGGAGAGATTAGAGAGAAGGGGAAGTACCAGGGTCTCTGACAGTGCCATGGACGAAGTAATCCTTAGAGAGAAGAAGATCGACGACCCACGAAGCCAGAAACCCTCCGGCACCGGTTACACAAACCTTTCCTTTCTCCACCACCGACATTGTTTCGATAAGAGCAAAGAAAAAAAAAAAAGATTCTTCTTCTTAAAAACGGTCGCGAGGTGTTTCTTGAATCTTCTTCTTCCTTGCTTTACTGCCAGGTGGGTACTGTTTTACCATCTGTCCTCTGCTCCATCTCAAATTTCTCTCTTTGACTTTTTTGCCTCCATCCTTTCTTATTCAAAAGTCCATGGGCCTAACTTCGGCCCATAAAACCGGATCTATTAATGCAACGTGGAGCCGTTACAGCCGCATGATTCAATCACAGACAGAGAGATTTGCATTGCTGAATTGCCATCACACTAACCGTCTCTGCGACCGGTTTAGTTTCGCAGTGGGCACCAAGCAAATGAGAATCAGAATCAAAATCAAATCAAAGTCGCTGCTTTAATTTCCAAAATCGAATCATCAAAGTCAAGCAAACCTTGGAGAGATCCAAAAGGAGTTAAGAACCATACAAGCAGGATCGTATTGGGGGGAGATCAATGGCTAGCAACTGGAGAAGATCAATGGGGAACGTGAGGTCTTTCGTCGGAAACTCCATGGGAGGTCTTAGGGGAAGTCAGAGTCTCGCTTCTTGGGTCGTCGCCGGAACAATTGCCTACTTTCTATGGGTTAAACCAGCTCAAGATCTCAAAAAGGAACAACAGGTAACCAATTTCGACACTCAGATTCTCACATCCCCAAAGTTTATGTTTATGTGGAATCTCCGATTTCAATTTTCCTCGGTTGTCTCTGGATGATTAGGCTAGGGCAGCTCTCGCAGTAGCCGATCCAAATCAATACGTGGAGAAGAGGAGACCAATCGCTGATCCTCAGGTAAATTTCAAACATCAATACTCATTTGCGAATTTTTCGTTATAGTTTTTGTTTTTGGTATCAATGTTTTCTTTTTCATGCTATATTCAGGTTACTGGTCTGATTTATGGAAACAAGAAGAAAACCGATAAACCACAGGATTAAAATTTCTGTAAGTTTTTGAAACATGTCGTTGTAAGTTAGCTTCTACAGTTTTTTGTCCAGTTTCCTATAGCTAAAGATCATGTATAGACAACTATAGTTGTGACTTACACAAACAACGAATAAAAAGATGGAAACTTTTTTGAAGGGTTTTATATGCATTGTGAGATTGAGAACGGATCTGAAACTTCGTTTTGACTCTCAATTAATGTTCCAGTTGGCACCAGGCTGTTCGAGTTTTCTTCTGTGAAACTGATGCTGGAAAGATATGCGTTGTAGTTGAATCTTTGTTTACTAATTGAATTGGTGAGATGCATCGACTTATATCTTTTCGGGTCCTTTGCAATTATGTTGTTTGGGTTTATTCTAGACTATGGTTGTGTTCTGCCACAAGGATTGGGCGTTTATCTTGCGTCATGTTAGGAAAGTATGTCTTGTTCCTTAGTTCGATCGCAATCAGAAACCTTACCTTCCCGGGGATTGATCATCTTTTATATCATGTGATGCAATTGACAATGGACTTCTGTGTTTTGTTTAGCATCATATTAGAGTTTTTCCGTGAGTGCAGTCGAAGAGCTATGGCTGGGTTAGATATATACTTTAGTGTCTTTATCTTGGATGTTCTATGAGTTGGTCAGATTGGTTTGGTTTGTTCTGCTTTGCGTTCTTGGATTGATTCAGTTTGGTGTGTGTGTGTGTGTGTCTAACTTTCTTTAATCCTCCCCATACTTGCATCAGATTAGTAAGGTTTTTTTTACTTTTTATCCATAAAAACCATATGCTATGCGTTGCAAGTTCTTTCGTAAACCTTAAGGATCATGAGTTTAGACGATTCTGCTAGAGAAAATATTACAACGAACAACATGCGTAAATCCTTTTAACACTGGTAATGTTGGGAAGCTGAAAAACCATAGCATGAGAGAGCAGAAAAAGCCTCTTTGGTTAGTTCAAAAATTGCAAACAACTACAACGATTTTAAATAATGTGTAAGAATTCATGATTATTATTTTTGTTTGCCAAAGGTAATTCATAGATGCGGCCACAAACATAACTGGAAACATTGTTTATAATTGTTTTTGTTGGATCCATTTCCAGTGTCGCTTATTCCACAACTCAACTTGACTTTTGGATCAATACAAAAAAAAAAACCTAAACCAATTGACAAGTTAAGAAAATTCCATTACCTTTTACTAGTACGCGATTTGTTTATTATTGAAGAGAATAACACTTCGTAATTGAGTCTCTTTATTTCCATTTTGCTCACTCTCAAAAATGTTTAAGGAAGAGACAATGGTAAAAAGCTTGTCATTATCAGGCGACCAAAAAATGGCGGTTAGAGATCAGAGAAAAAAGGATTAAAAAACATAGCGATATATAGGATTTTGGCGGTAAGGTAAACAAGGAACGCGAGGAAATAAATAATATTCTGATTTTTCAATTCTTGTCTTTTACGCTTGATTTTCGAAAGAAAGCTATGAAAATTACTTCTAGCTCTGTGTGGTCAAATATATTGCTTTAGAAAAATTATGAAGACGTACTAAAATTCCCCACTTATCATCATTTTCATTTTGACAGGTAGGAGAAGCACCAATAAGAAATGTCACGGAAAGTCAACACCAACGACCGCGTCCGTTGACTAAGAAAGTCCTTCGCCGTCTCCTTTGGTTCATCATCATCTTCTTCCTCTCTGTTAAAATCAGGAGAGAACTCTTCCAATCAAAACAAACACCACAACCATGGCTTCACTCTCCATCTCCACCTTATTTCTCCTCCTCCTCTTCGCCACGTCATCACCGGCGGAGGCTCAGCAACCGTACGTCAACAACCGCCAGCTCGACTGCGAAAACCGAGCCTTCGACAACATAACCAACGGTAACACCTGTAACGGCCCAACCTCTTGCCGCTCCTACCTCACTTTCTGGTCTCATCCACCGTACAACACAGCCAACTCCATCGCCGGACTCCTCAACGTCTCCGCCGCCGAGATCCAATCCATCAACAACCTCACCACCGTCACCGCCACAATCACTCCTCGTCAACTTGTCATCATCCCGGCCAACTGCTCCTGCTCCGGCGCCGGATTCTACCAGCACAACGCCACTTACAGAATCTCAAGACACGAGACGTATTTCTCCGTGGCCAACGATACATACCAAGCTCTGTCCACGTGTCAAGCCATGATATCACAGAACTCTTACGGCGAGAAAAACCTTGTCCCTGGATCTGACCTCCTCGTCCCTCTCCGATGTGCTTGCCCCACCGTGAATCAAACCGCCGCCGGATTCAATTATCTCTTGACCTATTTGGTCTCTCAGGGAGACAGTGTCTCCACCATCGCCGATATGTTCAGGAGCACAACCGACGCCGTTTTAGACGGTAACGAGCTCAAGTCAAGCGACTTGATCTACTTCTTCACTCCTCTTTCGGTTCCTCTCAGGACTGAACCTACCAGAATCGTGACATCTCCGTCGCCTCCTCCGCCGGTTGCTACGCCGCCTCAGTCGCCGCCGGTGGAGCCTCCGGGATCCTCCTCTTCTCACAAATGGGTTTTCGTCGGAATCGGAATCGGAGCCGGTTTGCTTCTCTTAATCTCACTCTTTGCTCTCTTCTTCTTTTTCTACAAACGAAGATCGAAACCGGAACAGAACAAGCTCACTGATTCATCGACCAAACACTCTGTTCTCACAACAACTCCTCCTCAATGGTCAATCGATTTGTCCAAATCCTCAGATACATTTGGTCTGAAATCCGCAATCGAGTCCCTGACGATTTACAGATTCCACGATCTCCAATCAGCTACTTCGAATTTCAGCGAGGAGAACAAAATCAAAGGCTCGGTGTATCGCGCAACGATCAACGGCGACGATGCGGCGGTGAAAGTTATCAAAGGAGACGTCTCTTCCTCTGAGATCAGTCTCTTGAAGAAGCTTAATCACTCCAATATCATCCGCCTCTCCGGATTCTGCATCCGAGAAGGAACCTCGTACCTTGTCTACGAGTACTCGGAGAACGGATCGATTGGTGATTGGCTTCACTCATCGGACAAGAAGAGAACTTTGACATGGAAACAGAGAGTTGAAATCGCTAGGGACATAGCAGAAGCTTTGGATTACCTTCATAACTACGTAACACCACCTCATATACACAAGAACTTGGAATCCACCAACATACTTCTCGATTCTAATTTCAGAGCCAAGATTTCGAATTTTGGGGTAGCGAGGATTCTTGATGATGGTGATCTTGATCTTCAGTTAACTAGACACGTTGAAGGAACACAAGGCTACTTAGCTCCAGAGTATGTCGAAAACGGAGTGATCACTCCGAAGCTAGACGTGTTTGCCTTTGGAGTTGTGGTTCTTGAGCTTCTTTCAGGGAAAGAAGTAGTGACGATACAGAAGGAGAAGGGAGAAGAAGAAGTGGAGATGTTGTGTAAAGAGATAAAGAACGTGCTTGGAGGAGAGAATGTTAGAGAAAAGCTAAAAGCGTTCATGGATCCATCTCTAGAGAATGAGTATCCGTTAGAGCTGGCTTACACCATGGCTCAGCTTGCCAAGAGCTGTGTCGCACCTGATCTTAACTCGCGTCCATCTATTGCTCAGGTCTTAACCAAGCTCTTGATGATCGTCTCGTCCTCCATGGATTGGGAACCTTCTCATGACCTTCTTCATGATTCGGGCTCTCTTGGCGACTAGTTCTTCATTTATTTTTTTTCAATAATAAGTAATTAGATTTTAGATTTTTTTTTGTACTAGACAAGATATGGGATCATAAAGCTAAAACATTTAGGTAGCAGATAAAATAATTGGTACCACTCTTTACAACAAAGTAATAAGATATGATAGAGAAGCTTTGTGTACTCTTTTGTGCTGATAAGCAGTTTATGAATAAGTTATCAATGGAATAGTAAGAATAAGAGGAGAAACAAAACCAAAGTTACATAAAGTAGCTATATCCACTACACATAAATTGCTTATCCGAGTCAGAGAGAATCCCATCCTAGAGGATCAAACTATGTTATCTGGTCATGGGAAACTTACCTAAAGCAATACAAGAAACAAAAGTTTATAACAGGCAAATATAAACGTTCATGTGAATCCAAGTCATACCAGAAGCGACAAAGAATCAAGCTTAATCCTTTTCATTCCCTTATACTCGGAAACTATTTATGTCTTGCCTTAAATTTTTTAAATATGGCTCCAAGTTCCAATTAGTCATAATATTGAATGAATTATTGTGAATCACAATATTGAATGAATTATTGTGAATCACAATATTGAATGAATTATTGTGAATCACAATATTGAATGAATTATTGTGAATCACAATATTGAATGAATTATTGTGAATCAATGATTTCTCAAACCGATTATTATTGTGAATCGCTATTCAACAATCTAAAAATGGCTTTTTCATATGGTAAGGACAAGGTCTTAAGTAACTCTGATTTCTAAGTTCAATACTTAACAAAAGATAACACAACTAACTAAAAAGAAATGCCACATCAACTTTCTCCAGCTAAATGCCACATCAGCATTGGAGAGAGTGAAACATGTCCATTTACAATCTTAACTAAAAAATAAGTAATGAAATTTAAAGAAACACATTAAAGAATATAAATAAATAATATGTATATAAATAAATTTATATAATAAACGAATTAATTTAATTTAAATATATTACAATTTATAAATATTATATAATATAATGCACCATTCTATTTTCTTTTTTCAAATGATTTAAATTTCATTTTTAAACTAAAAAAAATAATTAAATTTTAATGCAAGTGAAAAAAATTATAAAACTGAATATATTAATAAAAGATTAAAGAGATAAAAAATATAAAAAATAATAGTAAAAATAAGAGAATATATAAAAATGTCATAAATTGTTTTTTTGATACAAAAAACTAGGAATCAATCAAATATATATAACAAAAAAACTCAAAATTGTATATTGAGAAAGTTGACAAATATTATATTAGTAGGATTTACAACAATAAAAAGAATATGAAGATGGAAAAACAAATAAATATTCCTCTGGTATTCAACTTATATTTTTATGTGAACTATTATATTTTTATACAGAAATTAAATAGTAGGTTTTTAATTCTTTATTATAATGGGAGAAATTTTGGACTATTTCGTACAACTGTGTAGAATAGTTACAAATAATATGTTATAAAAAAATCAAAGAAATTATAAATATTTTAAAAGCAAAAATTGATAATAAAAATAAAATTTAATAAAAATTTTTAAAATGTATAATTTAAATATAAATTAAAATAAAACTGCGCATATGCGCGGGTTCTTTCCTAGTATTGATAAAAGTTATTAATGAAATAGTAAAAAGAGGACAAAACAAGAACGAAAAATGATACAAGTAAACGGTAACAACTATACCTTTATACACAAAATGCTTATCAGAGGAACTAGGTTTATTATATCTGGTCATGAGAAATTTTCCACAACTTCCGTCCCGAGTTTTTTCTTCTCAAACTCTTTAACCGTTTTCACTAGCTTCTTCATGTTATCGTCGTACACAAATGGACGCTTCTTGTAAAATGTCACGTTGTTCTTGGCCGAAACAGGTAACATCTCTCTGCAAAGCTCCTCGTGCACGGTTATGGTGTTGTGGTAATGGTAATAACGTATCTTTTTCTCTGTCTTGTGTAGTGTTTTCCCTACTACGTTTTCAGACATGTGAACTCCTGTCGCAAACGCGTTCTTGGCCTGAATCGCGTATTTCCTATCACGCCGTATGTTTGTTCTTGATTCCTTAAATAGCAACTTCTCAAATCCCCATTGCCTGCAAAAAAATCGCCCATATAAACAAGAAAACAAGCGTGTTCCTTTTCATAACCCCTTTATATACAGAAACATTAGAAACTTGCCTACAAAAATTGAATCAAAGTGTAATCTGATATCAAGATTCGATCCTAATCATTCACCATAAGCTATTCAACAAGATTTCCAAAATCCTATCACAAAAATCTGACAGTTTTGCAATATAAGGGGGCTCAAAGAACCATACCTGGGATAATCTTGAGAGGCATCGTTTAAGCAAAGAACATTAGACATTGGATTCTGCTCAATAGTGAACTGAGTATTAACCGAGAACTCAGCGAGCACCGATTCAAGCGTGTTTCCGTCAGGCAAATAGATATACTCGTCGACGTCGAAGAAGAAAGTCCAATTCGCAGCGTGACGATACCGATGCAAGCAATCATTAACGATCAAGAACTGATTGTAATAGTATCCATCATACTGCGACTGATCCCGAATATCCTGAAGCGTGACCCTCCCGGCACGAATCCAAGGCTCAAGAACCTCCCTAACTTCCGGCGAAACACCACCAGCATCGTGCAAGACGAAGTGAGATCTGTCTCCGAAGAACCAAGCGTGGTAAGCAATCCACTCCCTCATACGCGACGAGCTCACGTTCCCGTAAAGAGACGAGCCACAGTATAAGTAATCGTACGGATACGGCGGCGAGAATTTGGAATCGTCGTAAGATCCGGCGGATTCCTCCATCGTCGTGAACCGCTCGAAGAGTCTCGGAGACTCGCCGTAGTAAGCGTTGAGGATGAGTTTACCTCCGGAATTGTCGGAGTTAGGGTTCGATTGGAATGTGCAATTGACGACGACGACGGTGTACACGCGTCCGTATCCCCAATCGGGAAGAATCTTCACTGCTTTAGCTCGAATCGAGGTTCCGTTGCTCGCTAACCACTCGCACTTGAACCACGGTTTGCCGAATGTGTGGATCGGCTTCAAGGCGAGTCCGACGACGGCGAATGTCGCCGGACCGCCGCGGTAAGCTCCCATGAGGACGAAAAGCGCCGCCGCGTTTCCGAACGGCTGGAAAACGCGCTTGTTCGGATCTGAGGGAGACGAATCGTACTTCTGGGAAGTAACCGGTGTGGCGGAGAAGGCGGTGAAATTTTCAGGTGACGGAGATGATGTGGAGGAGAGGATGGTGGTGGTGGTGGTGGTGGTGACGGCGACGGGAGAGACGGAGCAGGGACGAGCGGTGGAGATGAGGCTGTGGTAGTAAGGAGGAAGGTTCCAGATAATCATGACGAGGGAGAGAGCTAGCAATGTAGCAATCAATGGCTTCTTCTCGAATCCGACGAGGAATCTTACGGTGGTGGTCGAAACCGGCGGCGAAACATCCTTCCTCATGTTTTATTTTTTTTTCTCCGTCGCCGGTGAGGTTAAAACGCACCGTTTCAGTTTCGAACAATGATAGTTAGAAAAGATGACGACAAGCGTCAGAGAGAAGTGACTCGTGGCTTCGCCGACACGGCGTTCGATAATGGAGAGGGAGAGAGAGAGAGAGAGACTCGTGGCTGTCTGATGAGTAGAGTAATGTAAAGTGTGGAGGTTGTTTTAATATAATATAAATATAGGGCTTGGATCTCTAATGATTTACGAAAACGACACTGCATCTAATAACACATTGTGTAAAGTTGGATCGTCTGTTTAAATTGCTGGCTCCCAATTGATAGCTTGTGGAGCCCCCACGAGTCGTGCCAAGTTGGCGTAACGGTGATAACTTGAATTATTTGTTTTTTGTTTTTGGTGCTTGCAAAAGTGAAAAGCTAAATGTGGATAATAGGCTTCACTAAAAGACTAAAGACTAAAGAGTTAGTGTGCCACATAAAATGTTTAATGTATAATCTATAACTATATATATCAGTTGTTAAGTGTTTGTTACGTTTGTTAAATATCGATTTGACCACTTACTGACTTGCTACTATTCAAAGTCTAAATTCGAGAGTCAATCCATTGTCAACGAAAACTCAATTTGACAGTAGAATGGACATCAAAATACTCACTTAAAAGTAGAATTCAGTGAACTCTAGACTCATTCCATCTTACAGCCAAAAAGAGCATTTAACGTATTTTAATAGACAACGGATCTCTTGTTTCAACAAATATTATATGTCAAAAAGTTGCGCTATATCTATGTACTTAAAGGACTAAAGAGTATCCTAAAAAAAAGGATGACCTGATGTTCGCTTTTTCTATTTTGCATACAAGTTTACACTTCAACAACTAACAGAAATGGTTAAATATAATATTCACCATAAATTCATATCTTTAATGTAATGCTTAGACTAGTATCATCACCCCTTAAATTGATTAAAACATGATTTTTCGTCCAATTATGGAACTCTTAAAAGTACGGCAATGCTTTTAGTCTTAATCATAACTATCGAATTTAAATTGAATGCGAATACGAAGTTTGATAATCACATAAGTCCATCTAAGACTGCTTTTTGGGAACTTGAATGTCAACTCTTAACATTAGAAAAAAAAAGCCTTTAAACGTCAATAAGTGAGATCATGTGTGATGTGTCGCGTAAGAAAACTTAAGGATGCCCACATATATTGTCTGTCTTTTCGTCATCTCATTTTTCTTTTTCTTTTGTTTTGATTTTCTGTCAAAGTTTAAGTATTTGTTTTCTCAATCTTGTCGGTCGAAGTTGTTACAATTAAATTCCAAGTAATAGACTTCATACAACTTTTAATTAATCTTTCAGTACATGATTGACCATCCTACTTTAGCGTGTAAAACGCTTATATGTGATCGTCCCTTGTGGAATCTTCTGACAATCTGATCGACAAAGTGAGCCTTATGGAAGAACAGTTTTAGCTTTCAAGGCAAAAGTAAATTATGCTCATAATAAAAGAAGGTACAAAAAACTAAATATGTACACCTTCTCCTTATATTTGGCTTTGATTGGTATTATCAAAATTCAAAAACCATCGAATAACAATATGTTTGTAGCAAATTTGCAAAGATTTATAATGATTAAATGGCATTTTACTAAGTCTAATCAAAAGTTATGTATCCTAAAATTTTTGTTCGTTTTATATTCGGCAAAGGCGTTGTTTCTTTTGGGATGCATCACATGTCAATCCCTCACCGAGAAAATATTTGTCTCAAATTTGGAATTCTCATTAGCACACCGAAGACTGCCTTAGTTTTTTTTTTTTGGTTCGGGGATTTTTGGATATAATGCAAGAAATTGCGATGCTTAGTTTAATCACTTTATTTAACGTCTCTGTTAGAAATCAACATTTGACAGTCAAACAACTTAGGGGGTGTTATTCAATTATGAATTTAGAATGAATTTTCTATGTTTTATAATCTTCTAGATTTAAAAGTTGATATCAGTTTGATGGATTCATTTGTTTAGATTCTAAAATCTCTGCAATATACACTGGATTTTGATTCTAATAATTTACTCATAAAACTCTATTAGAATTTATTTGAAATGATTTAATGTACAAAGATTTTAAAAAATTATTTAGTTTTGAATAACACTGGATTTTAATGAAAGATTTGAAATCTTTATTGAATAAAGACCAAACTTTAAAACCTCTTAAATATGATTTACAATCAAAATAACCAATAACACTTGATTTTAAAACATTATTTAGAATCATTAGTTGAATAATAGTAAATTATTGTTGGATTTAAATTCTATTAAAAACCATGATTGAATAACACCCCCTTAGAGTCTGATTGGCAAATTAATTTTAAAGGCTTTTAGGGCTTTGAAACAAAAATAAAGTTTTTAAAACCAGTTTTTAACCAATCAAACTTTAATGATTCAAAGTTTTAAAAGTCATAACTTCCATCCTAAAAAATCTCACAGCCTTCTCTCTCCTTTTTTCTTTGTAAATCGACACTTTTTTAAAAAAACCTCAAAATGTGGCTTTTACTTTTTTTTCAAAGTTACAGTCATAGTTTAACAGACTTAAAAAATGATAAATCTACTTATTTCACATACTTAACAAAATTAAATAAATGTTTTTTTCAACAAAGCTATAAACACAAAAAAACATGGCCCATCTAAATTAGGCCCAAGAAAAATGCGGGCCCGTCTACACGCTCCCGTAGGTTTGCGCGTATATGATTTCACAAGGTCGTGGTTTGAGTAAAACAACAAACGGCTATATTCCGATTGATTTTCAAAATTGTAAAGCGAAGAAGCGACTATGGCGGAAACGAGTGTTCAGATCTCAGATCCAGAGTCAGAGTTTCTTGCTTCCAAGCAAGAGACCGGATTTGAGTGGGAGCTTTTCAAGGAGAACGTCCGGCCACTGAAGAGAGGACGCAATGTTCGTCAACTCAACCACGCTCTCAAATCTCACTCCGACCACCAATTGAAGAAGGATCTCGTCGATAAACGAAGGTATAGCCATTCAATTTCACACGTATGCTCTTGGGTTTCAATAGAAATGGTCAAAATTTTATTATCTTTAATTATCTGCTGTCTTCTTTGATTTTCTATTAGGAAGTTGATTGAAGCCATCGATGACTACGAAGGAGATGACCCTCTCTCTCCTTGGATTGAGTGAGTTCCTTCATCTTTTCTTAATTTTTAACTTTCTTGATTGGGTTCTTGAAAGTTGCAAGCTTTAGGACTATTGCTAGATTTGGAATGTTTGTGCTCGTCTCTAGACTGAACTGTCCCAATCTCTTAATCTGAGCTTCTTTCACTGTTCTGTGGAAAGGTGTATAAAATGGGTGCAAGAAGCTTTTCCACAAGGAGGAGAATGCTCGGGGCTGTTAGTGATATACGAGCAGTGCGTTCGCAAGTTCTGGCACTCGGAACGTTACAAGGATGATCTTCGTTATCTCAAAATCTGGTTGGAATATGTAATGTTTCTTCTTTAAGCTCCTTATTATTCCTTCAAATACATTTTTTTTTTGTTTTATGTTAAAGTGGTGACTTTATTTTGTTATCTTGAAGGCGGAGCATTGTGCTGATGCAGAAGTGATTTACAAGTTTTTGGAGGTGAATGACATTGGGAAGACACATGCTGTGTACTACATATCTTATGCCTTGCACATGGAGTTTAAGTCTAAGGTGAAAACTGCGAACGAGATCTTCAATCTCGGTATCTCCAGGTTAATCTTCCATATTGCTTCTCCTTCATAGTTCACATACAGGTTTTGTCCCATGGTCTGATTGAAAGTTTGAAACTTTGTGCAGAAATGCAAAGCCAATGGAAAAGTTGAATGATGCATACAAGAAATTCATGGTTAGAACTATGACAAGGCTCAAAACAGCTGATGAAGTAAGAACAGTTTTTTCCGTTATGTAAAACTGATTATTTTAATGCCTCTAAGGTTTTGTTCATGATTGCTAATGTTTCCACCTAATAGCAGGAACCTAAGGAGAATGACTTACCGTCAAGAAGCTTTGGCACATTATTGTCCAGGGGAGATAATAATAGTGAGTCACATTAGCTTTACTTAGAAATCACTGAAATTTTTTTGAAAATCTTTTCTTCTTACATGACAATGTTTCTAATAGATGCAGGAAGGCAGGCGTTAGGACCACAAGCCAAAAAACCAAAGTCGAATCAGTAAGCATTTTAATTGATTCTTTATTTCTCTATTTTCTTCAACTCAACTCATACCTTTAAGCTATGATTTGTGCAGCTCCTCCAAGACAACTTTCCCTATCTACGCGGACACTACACCAGGGAATAATACACAGTTAGACAAGTCAAAACCAGAGTTTGGTAGCTGGCTCATGCTCGGAGGCCGAGCAGAGAGGAACAAAGAAAACAATTCTTTACCTGGAAAATGGGCAACATTCAAGGTTTTTTTTCCCTCTACTTTTACCTCCAAAACAAAAACTTTTCTCTGTAAATTGATCACTTAACCCGCATTTATATATATCCTCACAGGTTCCTCAGAAACCCATTGTGAGAACTGCAACAGCCTCTGCTTCCACCTTTGAGGTCTTTGTCGATGAAGAAGAAGAATGTAAAGAGGGAGGAGAGAAGAAGAAGAAGACTGAAACCATCTCATCGTCATCAAACGTTCTGCCCCTTAATGATGGCCGTGAGATAAAAAAGTAAGCATAAAAGCCCTTCTTAATTCACCAAAGAAAGAAAAAAACATTATCTCCTGACATTGTATTACTAACATTGTTTCCTTTAAAAACTGTAGAGAAACAGAGCTGCTGCGACAGAACCCCTTAAGGCATTTCCCATCCAACAGCTTCCTACGATGATGATGAGTATTATCTCTACGAACAATCTATAACAGACACGATCTTCTGATTTGAATTTGAGGCTTTTGTCTATAAAGCTCCTTGTAATTTGCCTATTTGGATTTGTGTTTTGTGATTTTCTGAGATTTGTGTACCTTGATGAGCCTTTTTTTCTTAAACATCTATCTTTATTATTGAATCCATAGTTACATACAAATACAGAAAGTAATAAAAATACAGAAATATATAAAAAAAATATTTGTTACAATCACTTAAGGTAGGGTTGAGATTCATTCGGCGAGCCGTGTATACCTCTCCAAAGACACCTCTTAAGAAGAATCAGCATGTGTTTTGATCGCCTGAGAGAGTAGCAGATTCACCTTCAGTCTTATGCTTTAATTGTATCCTTAAACGTCCTCTTACTAGTTGAGTATGTTATTACTCTTTGCATCAACATAGTACTTTATGTTTATCCACATGATTCTTTAAATTAAGGAATCACTATGACGATATTTTTTACAGAATAGAGAAATTCTTTTTTGTTTTAAACTTTTAAAATTTGTAGACCTTCATTGTGATAGTATGGGAACAAATTACAAAGACTGGGCACTCCTCCCAAAAAAAGGGAAATTTGGTGGCATAGCAACACGACAAGATTATTTAGGTGTCTGAAAACTAAAATTTTTATGGTATGGAAAATACTATAAACCCCCTCAGCTCTTTTCTATTCTAACATCTCTTGAGAATGATAATATATACGTTTTTACATTTTCATTTTTTCTGACAGCTTTCTCTTTCATCAACTTTAATTTAAATTACTTTCCCACACATTTATAGTCAAGCTTAGGTCTTAGAAATTCATTCATGAATTTCTAAATACTGCTACCACACCCATATCCCCTCTTCTCTTATTTCGGCGACTATCCATCTTGCTTCCCCGTTTCCGTCAAGATCAACCGGAATTTGACACGGCGAATCTTTATATTACTGCGGTTTAAAGCTCCGAACATGGTGGACAAATCTTGTGAACCACCGCCTTTTTCATCCACAGCGAATATTGAAAGGTACATGTTTAGTCGTTGACACATCTACTTCAACTCTGTTATTGTTTCGTAATTTGAATGTTATCTGATTTTACTCGCAGTTACCCGCATACATCGTCGTTAATTTCCAGGATCTAGAATTTTAATTTTTCTCAGCTAGATTTCTCGTTATTCTTCCTCTTTTTGGACACATAAACGTTTGTCTCATAGTCCATTTCTAGTGATTCATGATTTTGGTATTTTTTACCAGCCCACTCTCATTCTCATCCGTCTTATAAATATCCAGATCTACGCTTTCAGATCTGAGTAGTCGACATCCGTCTTAACAGTTCCGTCATTTTTTTGTTGTTATTGATATCTGGTTCTCTTGATTTTGTAGATTTAGAATAGTTAACTATTTTTTTATGCATACTGAGTAAATAGTAAATACATTGAATATAATCATTAATAATCGTTTACTCTTATCATCTATAACAGATACAATAAATAACTACTCTATATTCAGTTAGTCTACATAACTACTATGCACATATAACCAACTACCAATATAACTATGGGTAGTTAACTATGTTATAACAATAGCTAACTTTTTGCCATTTTTCCTTTGTAGGAATATGTGTTCTCTTCGACAATATGAACCCACACTGTTTGCAAATAATGTGCTTCTCCAGATTCGCGATGCACTCGTTGATGTCTTTGTAAGGGTTGCTTGATATTCTGCAAATGATGCTTGTTCATTTGCTTGTTCATGTAAGGTTTTAAACAAAACATTCAAGGAATCATCTCTCATCAAGGCGCTCAACCTATCTGCCTTCATTAAACAGTTCAACTTAATGAAGCGCTACCCTGAATTATTTGAGTCAGTGAAAATGGATAACTACCAATAATTGACTTTGAGTAGTAGCTATCTAATCCAAATAGACAATTATTAATACTTACTTAAGTATTAGAATCAACTTAGAGTTTATGGAGAAATTAGACAACTACTAATAATCGATTTGGAGTACTATCTATCTAATCGAAATATGTTACAAAGTAGTCAACGTCTCGGTGTCATTCAAACGAACCTTCATTTTAAACATAGTCACCTACTAGTAGTCGTCTACTAGAAATATATGAACACAACAAACAAAAGAATTAGAATTAAAAGGGACGTCTATACTGAAGTGATACATGACTAGTTGGTATATGTCTATTTATTTTCAACTTGGTGCAACTATAGAAAGTATCGTCCAAAATTTCTCACACTTTCGGAGTGAGAGAATGTTTGTCTGAGGGGGATACAACTTTTTATGAAAATAGTTGTCTACTACATATCCATATACTCTGAGCTAATGATTTTCTATGAAAATAGTCAATTGTGGCTATAAAGTTACCATTGTGACACCTTCCAAGACACCTGGTACAAAGCTTTGCCGTATTCCTCAAATTTCTCTGTGTCATTCAAACGAATTGGATCAACCACATTTCTACCACAAAGTAGTCAACTATGACTCATTATAAAAAGCTCACTATGTTACAAACACTAAATAGTTGACTATGTTACCTTCATTTCTCCTCTGGATGAGAACTTTATTTTCTTTGGTCAACCATCTGGTCAGCGTATAAATGGAGGAAGTAGTTCTGAGACACCATAACAGACATGAGTTGGTACGAGGTGGAATGATCTTTCATAAAGGGATCTCCAAAATCTAGTTTGTTTCTCTAGATACACCTCTCCCATAGGCTTCTCGTTTGCAAAGAAGAAGTTACCGATAACTTGATATGTACACCTCTCCCATTTTTCTGTTGTAAACTTCATACTCATCGTGGCCAACAACAACTACCTACATTTTAAACATAGTCATCTATTTGTAGTCGTCTACTATAAAAATATGAACACAACAAACAAACAAAATAAAATTGAATAGAATGTCTATACTGAAGTGATATGTGACTACTTGGTATATGTCTATTTACTTTCAACTTGATGCAACCATAGAAAATATCGTCCATAATGTCTCATAGTTTTAGAATGAGAAGATGTTCATCTGAGGCGGATACAACTTCTTTATGAAAATAGTCGTCTACTACATAACTGCATATTCTGAACAAATATTTTTTATGAAAATAGTCAATTATTGCATAGAGCTATCTCAGATTTTAAATGATATGAGCAAAAAGACACCGTGTATAATTTCTTGAGAAAATACGAACCATAACGCTAAAAATCAGAAACTTGAATATTTGGTTCATGGGTGTTGTGTTAGTGGCTATTTATCTGATCCACAAAGGTCTCCTTGAAATTAACATATTCGTACACGTAATACTAGACGACAACAACGTTTAAAGTTTGCTAAAGTAACAATAAAGTTTATGCTGATATTGTTCCAAAAAACAGATAACGTCAATGTTTTGATAAGTTGGTGTGGTCTCAACCTTAGTCAGAAAAAGTAATATCCAGATTTAGAGAATAAAGGGTGTAATGTCATTTCCACATACCTTTTCTCGTTGATTTATGCTATCCACTTAATTGACTGATTTCCTATGTTAGTTACTTAATTTATTTTCTCAGAAGTAATATTGATGCAAATCATCCAAAAAAAATTCCAAAGAGAAAAAAGTGGCTTTAAGCGGATGGGAGGGGGCAGAACATAATCAAGCATTAATAGCCATTTAATTAAATGTTTAAAAACCAATGATGCGATTTTGGAGATAGACTTTGAGTGGTAAACAAGGGAAAATGAACAAAAAAAAAACGTTGGGAATTTTATTTGAAGTTAGTGGTAGGGGCATCATTTCATTTTATTATCTACCCTTTAGGGCTTTTAAGGGTTCCTTTATCTGCAATATGTTTGCATCTACTACTTAACTAACCATAACATTTCGACTCATTCAGAATTTGATTAAATAAAAATAAATTTTGCTTAAATATATTGAAAAATAATTCAAAACTTAAAAAATACAACCTGAAAAATACATGAACTGAAGCACATATATTTATTGTCAACCATGACTAAATCATCTTGTAGAATTCTGTATAGTATTTACTAGCATAAACATTGTATCATGTAATATATTACTTATGTTGCAGGAAACAAGTTCGAAGTAGCTTCAAACACCAAGTAGGAAATCCTCTAAACTGTTCAACCAAACCATTTGCATCGGTTAACATTTTCAAATCATAAATTTGAACCTCAAGCGAAATGTATATTTCTTTTCTTTCTTTAAATCTTAACCCACAAATTTCCTTATCGTGTTTGTCTTTTCTCCTTCCAAACCTAATGCTGAATGTCTATTTTTTGAGCAAAATTGATTACCATGGTTTAATCTTTTGGCAGCAAAAATAGGTTTAAATAGGTTATAAACCTGCTTTAACACCCTTATAATTTTAGAAAGAAAATAAAAAAACTAGTTTTAGGATGTGATTATACTAATGAGTTATAAGTCAAGAAAATTTGTACATTTACGAACACATTTTGAACCTTAATAAAAAGAAAAAAAAAACAGTACTTTTAATTCATAAAAACTCTTAACATGGAACTTGATTTCTCAAAAACCTTAGAACTCTAAACTCTTATAGATCAATAGGTTAAACAGACACTCGCTTAAGTCGTCATTTTCTCTCAAATAAGTTGACTTGTAAAAGAAAGAAAAAAAAACGGAGGAGGAATTGACCAAAACGCATGTATATGGATTATGTAGTAAAGCAATGTATAGTTGTTGTAGGGAAATAGCCAATAGAAATCCCCAAAGGACGCGTTTAATACCTTACTCTACGCCAAACTTACTTACTCTCTCTCCCTCTTTTATGTAGAAACAACCAATCACATTATGAATGTGAACTTTGGAGTTAGTTTAAATCACATGCATTATCTATGTTACAATTTTCAAACTTGTAGAGAAGCCATTATTTTTACATACAAAAAAATATACTAGTAATTACGAGAAAGTTCATGTTGAGGAGATGTATGCTCCTTTTTCTTATATTATGATATTTTGGTTTTTGTGATAATAATGATTGAATTTGAGTTTTGTTTGGTTTTGAGATTGAATCGTGGCCGTATAAATAAGGAGATGATAGTGATGTGCCAAAAAAAAAATCAGGAAATAGCACAATCAAAGCAAGTAATCCCTAATTGGACTAAATGATTAAAGATTAAGATCTACTTTGATTATGCCCTTAATTCAACAAATCTACATGAACCTTAAGAAAGGGTTAAGGGCCGAGATTAAATAAAAGGATTAAGGGTCAATATATCTACAGTTACCAAATTAAAAAACAAACAAACCAATAAAAAGATTAAAGAAAGCTTTTTATACATAAAAGTCATTATCTCACAAAATAAACACCCTTTCTCCTCTTTCATTTTGCTCTCTCAGACAAACGCCCGTAACGGGATGTTCTCACCATAACGCCGTTAAATCCGAGCCCGTTTCAACACGTGTTGTAAGGAAACGGAGGAATATTCCGTTTTCTTTTTAATCTAATGGCACTGGAACAGCTGGGGTTGGGAGTAGTGAGCGCCGTTGACGGCGAAGGTAACGGCGTTACGCAAGGCGGTGGAGAGAACAGTGCGCCGTCAAACGAAGGCGGAGATGACGGCGTTAAGACGGCGAGGTTGCCTCGTTGGACGAGACAAGAGATCCTAGTGCTGATTCAGGGGAAGAGAGTGGCGGAGAACAGAGTCCGGCGAGGAAGAGCGGCGGGTATGGCTCTCGGGTCGGGTCAAATGGAGCCGAAGTGGGCTTCGGTATCATCTTACTGTAGGCGTCACGGCGTGAATCGCGGCCCGGTTCAGTGCCGGAAAAGGTGGAGTAATCTCGCCGGAGATTACAAGAAGATAAAGGAATGGGAGTCTCAGATTAAGGAGGAGACGGATTCTTATTGGGTTATGAGGAACGATGTTCGCCGAGAGAGGAAGCTTCCTGGTTTTTTCGACAAGGAAGTTTATGATATTGTCGATGGCGGCGTGGTTCCTCCGGCGATTCCTCCGGGTCTTGCACTTGGCTTGGCTCCGGCGTCGGCGGAGGGATTGTTGTCTGATGTTGATCGGAGAGAGCTGGTGAGAAGTCCAGATAAGTTGAATTCGTCTCCCAAAGCGATTGAGGGTAAAATCCAGATCAAAGTTTTAAGTTTTATATGTTCATCCACAAGATTCCATTTTTTTTATAATGAAATTTGATTTTTTGATGAAGATGTTATAAACAAGGAGAAGCAAGCAGCTTGTGGAGCAGATCAAGGTTTGTATTTTTGTTATTCCTTCTTTATTTTGCATCCCATTAGATCGCTCGTGCTGGGGTTGGAACTGAAGTGTAGGGTCTTAGTGCTTTTGATATGTGATCCAAAACAACATAAAAAGGTCTGGTTTTGGAGGACTTATAAATGTTTTTATTTCTCTCTGTGTCTCGTATCCAATCTTGTTTTGATTTATTCCATAGACTTAAAACCTTGATCTATATGCTTTTTACAAACTAGTTTTAGAGCTCTAGAGTTTCTTTGTGGAAAGATGGTTTCATATTATAAAAAATGCAGCACTATTAGTGACCAATTGTGTTACATAAGTAGTTCAACTATATATCCCTCTGGTGCATGATTTCGTTTCAGTTATGTAGTTGTGTGTAAAGGGTCTCTCCATTATCTTGTTTTTTTTTCACAACAAATGTTGATTGTGAACTTGAAGGTAGACTGAAAGAGAAACATTTAGAAGCAGCTAACCCGGAAGCTGGGTCGACATCACAAGAAGAGAGAAAGCGTAAACGAACATCTGCTGGTGAAGAAGAAGTAGAAGAAGAAGAAGAAGGAGAAGCGACAAAAAGCATGCAGAATCAGTTGATACAGATACTAGAAAGAAACGGGCAGTTATTGGCGGCACAACTTGAGGTTCAGAATTCAAACTTAAAACTAGACAGGGAGCAAAGAAAAGATCACGGTGATAACTTAGTCGCTGTTCTCAATAAGCTCGCAGATGCCGTGGCAAAAATCGCAGATAAATTGTAGATATAGTACTATTTATGTAAATTTAGTCGTATATTACTTCAACATCACTTCTCATTATTCTTCTTCTCCTTTTTTTTTCTCTCATTTTACCACCATTGTTGATCGAAATATTGATGCCACACAGTATAAATCTCCATGTTTATATACACTTCTTATATAAACATGGAGATTTATACTGTTTTTTGACATCAATGTACTTTGTTTTGCTCTTTTTGACGGATTCAGACATCCTATGTATGGAGTTTTCATACTGTTTTAGGACATCAATTGTCTTTGTTTTGCCCTTTTGACTACCATAATTCAGACATCTTGATGGCCAGTATGGGTTGATAATTTGTGGCATTCAAACAAAGAAAACATATATTTGATTTTTCTTAAATTTCATGTTTATTTTCCCTTACTATAAAAAATATTGATGTATTATCAATATAGTTCCCATGTTACATTAAAGACTTAACACAATAAATTTCTTGTTCACATAATTTTTGTTTTTTATCAAAAAATTTCAGTCTCAAATTTGTGTTGTAAATTATTATGTCTGTGACAAGTTTTTTTGTGATGAAGGACAAGTAAACAAGTAGCAGTTTCATAAAAGTCGTAGACGTGTTTGACCGCCACCAAAAATATGTGTACGAAACGAAAGTCTATTTTCTGCTAACTTAACTGATCTGACTCACTTTGGAGTTTGGACTAAAAAAAGTTAGATATTTCAGACAGCATTTTTAAGTAGTAAATAAAGGGATATTTTCGTCATTACGCACTCTCATCTGCGCATATCATACGTCGCGCTGACCTAATTGCTTCGTTCGGATCGCTGACGTGTACGGTCTAGATTAAACTCAATCCTCAACTAGATTCTCTTCGTTCCTCTTCTCTCGCGTATATTAATCATTAACCTCTCTCTCTCTTCTTTCCTCTATTCCTTTTCTTTTTAACATTCTCTTCAAAGTTCGGCGTCGGGAGAAAATAAATCTCCAAATTGGATTGAAAACCAAAAAAAAAAAGCGAAGAAATTTGAAAACCTCGTTCCTAAATCTCGGATCGGGAATTTTGAATTAGGAAGCTTTGGTAAAAAAAAAGAGCTTAAAAATTAACTTGGATCTCTGTTTTTCTTATCGTTAATTTGGAAGGGACGACGGAAAGAACCCTAATTTCCGTGTTTTGGGATCAGTCTCTCGACGAGACTAAAAGGGGATTCTAAATCAGATCGGGTTGTTGGATTTTTTTGTTTGAATTTGATTTTTGAGCAGTGTGGAGATTTTTACATGCTTGTGGCTCGATCTGGTTATTCTAGAACCCTAAATCGGATGGGCAACGATGAGGATTTGATTGTATTGGCGGATGTAGAGGAAGGAGAGATCTCCGATTCTGGGAACAACACTTCAATTGAAGTTAAGCAGACTACGGCGGCTGATGGCGGAGTTATCGATGGTGGAGCTGTGGCCGGAGAAAGAGGAGGATCTAATGGCAGCTCTAGGGTTTGGACAATGCGTGATTTGGTGACAAAGTATCCTGCTTATCGTGGATACGCCAATTCGGGTCTCTACAATTTTGCTTGGGCTCAAGCTGTTCAGAACAAACCTCTCAATGAAGGTTTGGGAATGGATTATGAGCAAAGAGAGAGCTCTGAGAGTAAGAGTGGGGAAGGTGCTGATACTATTGTGATTGACGACAGTGATGATGAGAAAGAGGAAGGAGAGTTGGAGGAAGGGGAGATTGATTTGGAGTCTGCCTCTGATGAGAAATTAGCTGCAAGAGCTCAGATGGAGCCTGAATCATTCGTCTTGACAAGTGCTAACAAAGTGGAAGATGATAGGATTCAGAAAGAGAGAGATTTGGAGAACAAAGTGAAACTGATCCGTGGTGTATTGGAGAGTCCTCTCTGGCTCCTCCCTTAAGAGTGCGGGTAGCCA